GTCGAAGTGCGGACCGGTGAGAGGAGGCACCTGCGGGGTAAACAGTCCGTGGGTCCGACGCGAGCCGCCGAGCAAAAGGGGGGAGGGAAACATTCAGAAGGCAGGTTCTTTGGGGAGTTTCTGGAAGAAATCGCATGGTTGTTCGCCTTTTTTTTAGGGTATCCTTTGGGTGATTGGAAGGGGAAACCAAAGTCAGGCCAACAAAAAAGCTTTGGAGGCCCATTGTGTTTGGGCCATGGCTTTGCAAACGAGCAGGGGGGACCTCAGGTCAGTCCCATAGCGCAGTTGCTTTCTTGGTGAAGCCATTGATGCGTGAAAGGGGCTACCTTTTATCCATGGGTGTGGCCATGCAAGTGCGGATAGCCGGCCAGAAAGATTGCCCACTGTAGAGGGGGTATGAATGTTCATGTGAGCGATTAAGGGACCTCCTGCAAAGTCACAAGGCGTCCTTTGCGTGATGGGCATGCACGTGATAACTTGTTTCAACACGTGATGGCTTCAGATATCCCGGAGCCTGTCTCTTCCTTTTTCGGCTTCTCCCAGCAGCTTGGAGGGGTTGTTCGCCAATGCCAATGCCTTTGTCTCTGGTTTGCAGCTGCACCAGGAAGAAGGTTTCTGTGCCGTTCCGTATGTTTGCCAAAGATCAGCTTCGGCCCAGCTTAAACCCAGACCTCCAGGTGGGGCTTCCATGTCTTTAAAACCAACCAGTTACCCATAGTGGACCCCTCAAAAGGGGGTGGAACGGACCTTTATCAAGAGGACCAAAAGAAGAGCGGCCTTTTTTTTTTCTCCTATGACCACTGGTCTGCATTGGGTTCCTCCAAAGTAAACGGAGGACGCATACGGCCAGGTATTACTGGAACGCTTCCAAAGAGGACGTCCTTTGGGATCCTCCCCCCGGCGTGAGGCAAGGAATGGGGACAAGAGAGGTTGGGGGGTTGTTTGAGGGTACCCATTTCGAAATCGAAATCCATTGGGTTTGAATCCTTTTGACACATATCCAGTCCTATGAATGATGACGACCACCCCAGAGTTTGAAGCCTTGGGGAAGTGTTCGGGGTGATTAGGGATTCCCCAACTCTCTCAGCGCCTTTTTAGGGTAATTTGAGTAGAAATAGATGGGTTCCACCGGTTTAGATTGGTTCTGTTCCATGTACCAGGGCCGTCTATGTTACCAAAAGCACCTATGCTGAACCCATCAACGAATCTCTTCTAAGAAAGTTCTAAGAACACCAATGACCACTATGTGGCATGACTCGGCATGACCTAACCAACCAAGGGGAATATGTTTTGTTCTCATACCCGGTCTATCTTGGTTCCACTGCTTGAGCAATGCATATGATCAGCGCCCTCAGCAAGGCAGCGTACATATTGCGCGTTTGGGCACATGCAGCAACCGGGGCTGTTAACCACTTGTCCAGTGACCGCAATTGCTCCGAGTTTCCCTTTGCCAGGCCTGCACTGGTGAAGTTCCATTGTCGTTCGATGTTGCCTTTGTTGATGCCGCTGTTGTCGCTGTCTTCGTTGTCGCTGTTGCTGTCGTTGTTCTGGTTGTGGAAGAACACCAGACATGTGTTGTTGTTCGTTTTGAAACCACCATCCCAGGATGTTAAATTGACATTCCGCTAAAACCTCACCTCACGAACACCTCACCTGAATCCAAGCATGTTGAGACCTGGGTCAGCATTTCGCCATCCAAGGACATTACATTGGATGATGGGAGGATACCTGGCCATAATCCTACATTGGGGCAACATCTCATCCATCAGGTATCCCTTTGGTTGTGACGGGCTAGTCGGTTGGTGGCTTCTGAAGGTCTGGGTACCCTCGTTCCGGTCCCAGCGGGTCCCAAAAAGCCACGGGACCCCTCGGTGAAGGGCGACTTGCCAAGCTATGCTCGATTCGCCAGTGTCTGTGGTGAGCCACCTGGGGTACAAGCCAGCAATGTTGACCCAGGATAAATAAACCCGTCCCAGTATTAGGGGGGTGTTCCAACTCCAAAAGTGATGAATCCCCACTAAAAGGGGACGCCCCCCTGTTAATCAACCAGGTTTATTCATCAGGGGTTACCATTAATAGCAATTATCACTTAGGCCACCAACCACTTACGAACTTGGCGGCGAATCGGCCCAAGAAGCCTTGCCAATGGCGGCCCTCTCTTTGTCTCTTTGGCTTTTGTATTTCTTAATGGCTAGACCAGTCGAACCAGGTTTCTCTCCGACTCACACATCGACTCGTGGGGCTGACCGGAACATCGGAGTGAGGGATTCGGATCGCTCCATTTCGATGAGCCCCGAGTTTGGGTGGTTCTACCTGGAGGGTGGGGAAATCACCAGGTCTTTTTTTCCAACCACTGTGATACTTGTGGGTTTTTCCCCTCTTATGGGTGGGGAAATGTCTTTAGGCCCTTTTTGTTGTTGGATTCCATTTCCCACAGCCCTGTTCTACCTGGTTTCACATTGGGATAAGGTGCAGGCCCATATGGAAATCGTCTGAAAATGGGCATCGGGCCCTCAAAACGGGCATCGGCCTGGGTTCTCCTTTTTTTGTTTCCCTGAAAAAACCGTCCCAACAATTTTGTACCGAGACACGAACAGAGACAAGCCCCCGCAGCCTGAGTAGAACCATCTTCGAACCGTCTTGGGTTTCGGGCGCGGGCGGGAAATTTTGCTCGCACTGGCGAGCAGGACAGCCCAGTCTGATTTCTTTGATTGGCGCTGCTTTATTCAACATGATCTTATGTGGCCTTTTGGATTGGCTGTTTCGATTTCTGCGCAGGGTTGCAGATTCCCCGTTGTTGTTTTTTTTAATCGTAAAACTCATGCGAAACCAGACAAGCCTCAAACACACGCAAGGCACGAGTCAGGCACACAAAGGTATCAACGTTTGGACAAAAGCAACGCCCACTGTGTGTTTGTGCCCACTTGTTGCTGCAGATCCGGCCGCAATTCCGCCCGCAGCATCACTCGCCCATTCCTGTCTTTTCCCGGCAGGATCGCAGACCCCGGTGCTCCCCCCCAAAAAGAACACACACCTTCCACTGGGTCTAGGACTCACACGGAAAATATTTGAATCCCGGCTCGGACTCAGCTGGCCCAAAATCCTCACCCGGTCCTCGCGAAGGTGAAGGGATGTTGGACCTCTTCGCTTTTCCAGCCCCACACCGTTTGCGTTCCTCCAGCTTGTGAACCGGCCCACAACAGGTTCGGGGGGGTCCAGAAAATAGGCTCCCAATAGTTTGGGAAATAAAAGAAGGGGCTTGGGATCTTACGAGGGCAAAAACAGGGCCCTCGAATTCATTGCCATTTGCCTATTCTATGGCGAGCTCACCGATTCGAGGTAGAACGCGCTTACCTAGATGTTGTAGCTTCTTTACTTCAGGTGTTCGAATTGTAACACCAACATAACCATGGATCAAAGGGAATGAGAAACTGGACACATTCCGTTTTTGGTGGGTCCTTTTCCAGTTGGGTTTGCACGTTGGTGGATATTTATCCGCTTTGCAGATGGTTGTGTGTGTATGCGTGTTTTGAGGGTACCCTTTTATTTGGGCTTAAAGGGCAACCAAGAGTAAATCCAATATGCTTGGTCACAAGACTGCACATTTTGACAGATGAGCGTGGAATTTGTTCTTTTGGGGGATGCCTTTTAGTCTTTTTCAGGGAAACCAAAAGTAAACCCGAAATCCATGTGGGAGGTATGAAACCGTGAGACACATATCCAGACACATCCACGTTCTTCGGCAGGGTGGTTTGGGCGGCAGAGAAGTAAAGACCTCAGCCACCGGTCGCTGTGGGTGGGTCGGTTTTTTGGGGTGGTGGTGGTTGGGCGCGGGGGCGGCTTGGGTGTTAGGAACAAGATGTGATTATGACATGTAAAACATGTAGTGCGTGTAGATCTGTATAAGTATAATGTGCGTAATGTGTGTAACACATGTAATGTGTGTAGATTGAGTTATGCATCATGCAGTGTATTGACTGTATATGTCAACCATGCACTGGATGGGCCCCGTACCAGCTTACCCCCCCCAAAAAATCGGACCCCGCAAGCATCACCCCAGGCATTGCCTCATGTTCAGAATCCGCTAGCTCAGCCCCCCACTCACTATTGTTGGTGAGCTGTTGGCGGTGTTCTTGTTGGATCACTCCCTGAGTTCATGGACGTTTGCCACTTTTTGGGAAGACCACTTTAGCGGTATACAAAAAGTTCGGACTTTTTTTGGGCCATCCACTCAGGAAGTGAGTTGGTGTCCGTTTGACAACCACAAAAAGGGGTACCCTCAAAAAGACAAGCCCATTTGAGTAATTGCCGTGCGCAGATGTGGGCGCAGACAGCGCAACAGTTTGCTGGGTGGCCCGATCTCTTCCGGTACGAGTGTGAGGAAGGTGCTGGAAAGCCAAGAACAGTCATCCGCCGGCAGAATTTGGAACAAGTCGTCCAGGCTCATACTAGGATGGTAGTGCCTTGCCATGTGTTTGGTTTGGGGTCCACCCATTTTTCCCCTTGACTGTGCAAAGAACAAATATGTAATCCCCTACAAAAACATGAACCCACCTGAAACCCACCCCCCAAATGGAGTTTCCTCTACAAATTGCAGTTTTTTTTTGGCTTCATGTTCATCTTTTGGGGAGTAATCATGTTAGGGCCGCACCTCGGCTTCTACCGCCTCAGGCACCCGGAAACCGGGAAGACTTATTACTGGAACAAGGCCGGATCGGTCTTTCTTGGGGGGCCGAATTTCGAATCAGACTTCAAAGCGGATTGCCAGTTTGGAGGGGGTTCGGGGGGTTGCCAATGGCAGTCAGCAAGGCCGTTTTTCTTTTTGAATCGGTGTTGAGGGTTGTCAACATCATAACTTGTTTTTTCTCTCTCGAAGTGAACCTACCACTTGTTTTTGGCGATTAGGCGTGAAAACTTGGGCTCACTCTAGAGCCGAGGGCTCGCCTGGAATAGTCAGTGTCAAATTCTCGTTTCAAAGCTTGAAAGGATTAGTTTTGCCCATGATCGAGTGAGGGGGGCAGTCAGAGACCAAGGTAGATGTCCCTAGTTGTTGTCTCGGCTTGTTGTCCTCAACGATCAAGATCATGCCAGTCTGCTGATTGTAGTGGATGCACATGTCCGCTTGTCCAGCTTCATGTTGGATCTTAAGAATCCTGATGGATGGATGTCTTTTTCCGTCAATGACTTGAGCAGGGTTCTCACATGCAAATGGCGGGTAAGAAGTGAAGTTTCGGGATCGCCCCACGCAAGGGCGCGGATATCCGTCCTTTTGAGTCGCTTGGTCTTGGGACGACGAGTGGACCGGGATCGCGATTTCTGGGTATCTTTTTGTTGAGGGTACCTCTTTTTTGTGGCTTCAAAGGAAAAGCGCAAGTGGATTTGAAGGCAAGCCACAAGGATCACCGCCATTTGGGTGGGTCCCCTAAAAAGGCAAACCTGCCCATTCGAATCTGAGCTTTCGCGAGGCAGGGTTTACGGGAACGATGTGGGGTGTCAAAATAAGAATTTGGACCCCCCCAAAACGACTGCTTTCCTTTTGGGTTCCATTGAAACCAACCTGCAATGCGGAAAATCAGAAAGGCTCCTGGATGGGTGCCTCAAAATTTGGGACGCCTGCGGGCGGGCCCAAATGACTTTCTTGAAAGTAACTATCAGTCTACCTTCCGCCATTCTCTCCTGGAAAACCAGGCTTTCCCCCAAAAAAATGAAACTAACAATCAGCGGGTATTTGGAGTAAGGGTTATTTTCCTGGGATTCCTCAGAAGTCCGAGACCCCGCCAGGAGACCAGCGAGAGCGTGTGGACGCTGCCGATTTGGAAGCCGGAGCGAGGCCGGCGAGCCGGACGAAGGGATCGGATTGCCCCGACATCCAAGCGGATGTATTTGCTGGAACATGTTTTTTTTGGTGGTGCCCCTGTTTTGTGGTGTTTAAATGGAAACTAACAAGGAAAACCGCCAATTTGAAGAGTCCCCTGAAGAAGGCAGGCCCATGTGGCAATGAATTTCATGATGCAACCACGTCCAATGTCGTTGGTGAACATGAATCCCCACCAAACTGATGTGCACCAAAGGGTCCACTGATAAATGTCACACCCATATGCAGAACACTTACACACGCTGTTCTCCTAGGATCATGACTTAATTCGGTTTTAAAGTCCACATCCTATTTTTGTGGCCACTTGCCCAGATAGATGGATAGCTGGATAGATGGATGGGTGGGTGGGTGGGTGGGTGGATGGATAGGTAGGTAGATAGGTAGATAGATAGAAAGATATTCCAATAATCACGGTTCTAATTCCAGTCATTTCCTGGTTTACTCAATCTAGCATTACTATTGAGCCAACAACCCAAAGCAAGCTTCGTTGAAGCTTCCTGGCACTTGGTTGAGGGTCCTCCAAGCATGGCTGAGCGCCCGAAATCCCTTTAGACCATGGTGGACAACGCTGGTGATGTCTACACAAGCGTATTAGACCAGCTGAAAGTAGACGTCACGGTTCCTTTCATTTATTCCTATGGCTGTGAAGGGCTCATAGAGGCCCCCCAATCCAAATAGGGGCTGGCTAACAAGGCCTTTAAGGGGCTATGTAATAGAGCGCCTTTTTACAAGGGTCCCGTCTTTGGGGGTGTCTTGAGAACTGTGGAATTTATGTGGTAAGCAAAGGGGACGAGTAACCCAAAAGAATAATTCTGCCATCTACTTTCGCCCAACTTTGTACCCTCCGACCACTTAACATGGAAGTGCAAAAAGGCCCTTTCCAAGAGGAAAGTAGTTTTTGTACAGGTGTCTGTGCACTTCCACGTTGCCTGGTGGGAGGGTAACCATCCGGGGCGAAGCCAAAACGGCAACTGGTCTGCACTCAACATGGTCCGAGCTCGCCGAGTGGAAACACGAGCTCACTCACCAAGTCTTTTTCTTGGCTTTTTTGCTTCTCTTGGGGAAAAGCAACTAAGAAGGAGAGAACAGCCAGCAAATGCGCCAAGGGTTTGGGAGGTTTTCTTGGCAGCCAGTTTCCAATTCCTTCAATAGTTCGACTTGGTGAATAATATCGTGTATGGACGAAATCCTGCATCCGCTTTGAGACCACAGGAAACTAACGCTTGTTGGTATTTAAAGGGGGGATCGAATCCTTCCGTTGGGTGTCTGCAGTTCTGAACGGTGCGAGAAGTGGATTTGGCAATCACAAAGCTCCAATTCTCCAGCTCTTTGGGGTCTGTTCCCCCCCTTATGGTGGACACTTGGGGTCTATTTTGCAACCTCCTTCATTTAGGGTATTGGGTTTGTTGGGGGTCTTGGCGGAAGCATATACTCCAAGTGTCCATGGCACGTTCCTCCCCCCCGTTTTGGGGTTACGCAGGAGCGCAGCCGGTGCAGCCGCAGCCGGTGCAGCCAGTGCAGCCCGTGCCCGTGCCAGCGCCAGTAGCGCAGCCGGCGCCAGGCCGAGAAGCCTTTTTTTTTGGTTGGTGCGTGCGGTCGAAAAGCGGGGAAGGGGGGGGGGTCCATGTCTTGCTGGTGCGAACAGGGAAGGTGGTTGAATCCTGGGCTTTGGTCCCCTTAAAGGAAAGTCGCCTTAAAGGAAGTTCCCCTTGAAGGCAGGGTCCCTTGAAAGGAAACCAGCAGTTGGGTCTGGTTTTTCTTGGGGTCATTCCATTTCTCATTCCCTGAGCACCGGCAAGATCCAAGAGGGGGGTCTGAGGACAGGTAGAAGGTTTGTCTCTAAAAGCTTTGAATCAGCAGCTCTTGGTTTACCTTTAAATCCAAGGGCAATGGTGACCCCATATGAACCAACCTCAGTGTGTTAATAGGGGCCTCCAACAGTAATGATTCCCCACTAAACACTCGGACACCTCTCCTATCAATAAACTGGGGTTGATGAGTATGGCGTCAACATTATATTCGGAGCTTTCAGTTTTCCCTTTCTGGCAACCACTTGTTGTCATGGGCCTAATAGGTGATCTTGCATTTCCGGGCCCGAACGCACCAACTGAGATGTGGGTGTATTCACCCGCTTTATACTTGCCAACGGGAATTGCACCATCTACTCTCACCCCGCTGTCGGGTTCTGACGTTCCCGAATGCGAATCTAGGATTGCACTCCCACAGACAAGGCTTCCTCCATTCCCCTTGTTGCATCCTCCAAAAGAGGCAATTGTTTCAGTGGACGCCCCGTAAACTCATCAACTTTTGATTTGTTTGGAAATCCAGGCAGCCCCTGTTTTTTGGCCCATTGCCCCTCCCATGTTCGAGGTGTACCCATTTTCAAGTGGTGTCCCCTACCTTGCGGGTTTTTGGACAGATGGATGTACTTCCCCTCCGTGCTTCGTCAAAAAGAAGCAACATGTGCTGGCCACTGAAGCGAAGCCTTTGGCCTCAGTGACGTGGGCCCCGAGCTGGTTGTTCAAGTGTTCGATTTCCAGAAGGGTCTGTTTTTTCAGCGGACCCCCCCGCCGCCCCAAACAAAAATGGTGGGTTGTCTAATGAGTCTTATGCTTTCCCTTAAAACCCACCCCCAAAAGGGAACCCTCACAAAAGACGCTGACAAGGATTCCCCTGCCTCGGAAGACAAGTGCGTGTGGTTTTCATTTTTCGCGGGAGCCCCAAAAATGGCAATGGGGTCCTTCTGGCTTCCCTTTAAAACCAGCCAAATGGGGGGGTGCCTCAAAAGGATGGCACACCTTCAGAAACTGGCTGTGCACTTTCATGTGTGCTGGGAGATGGTGAGGTATGGAAAAAAGCTGGACAACCATCCTCGTGGGACCCAGGGTCAACGACTGGATTCTCAGGCGCCTCAGTTTTAAGAGTGGGAACCATCCTCAAAGGCGATTGGACATGAATCACCGCCGAGTTTTGGTGTCCACCAAAGGGTCCCTAATTAAAACTCATGCCCATTCACCACTTGGAACACGGAAGGCGTGAGTGCCCTCCCGTGCACTCCAGGCAGCCAGAGTTCGTTCGAGCATGACCAATCCTCAAGGTTCGGCGGACGACACACCTGAACTGGACTAGGTCCCCCAGGATCGTGCCCTCCATTTTTTCCCCAGGCTGAAACCATGGATCACCACAAAGTCCATATCCCCAATTAGAGTTCACAGCACTGCAGTTTCTAGGGTGATTTGGTAGCACTCCTTAAGCCGGCCACCTCGCGGTGACTTGAATGGTACAAGTTATGAGGCAAGTCTTGCCTTGGATAAGTGCTACTTTGCTTTCCAACATTTGGGTAAGTGTTAGTTGGTGGCTTGGATTGGTGGTTTGGTGCCTAAGGAAGGGTTTCCTAACTTTAGAGCCTCCGGCTCAGTCCGCCCACATTGTCCTCTCCCTCTTCTCCTTCTTCCTCTCTCCCTTGTCTCCTCCCCCGCGTGTTCTGTCGTCCTCTCTCCCTCCCTCTGCTCCCCATCCTTCCCATCCCCCCGAGCCTCTCTCTCCTCAATCTCCCTGTCTCTGTCTCTCTCTATCTCTCTATCTCTCTATCTCTCTATCTCTCTATCTCTCTATCTCTCTCTCTCTCTCTGTGTCTCTTTCTGTCTCGCTGTTTCTTTCCTGTCCACGCCCCTCTACAGAAAAAGGGCACCCTTATTCTAACCTCTCTACTGGAGGACCTAGTCTCTCTCTCTCTCTCTCTCTTTTTCTCGCTCTTTCTCTCTGTCTCTCTCTCTCTCTCTCTCGCTGTCTTTCCGTGTCTCTCTCTCTCTCTCTTTGTCTGTCTCTTTCTCTGTCTCTTTCTCTGACTCTGGCTCTGTCTCTATCTCTCTCGCTCTCTCTCTTTCTCGCTCTCTGTGTCTCTCTCTCTCTCTCTCTCTCTCTCACTCTCTCTCTCTCTCTCTCTCCCGCTCTCTCCCTGTCTCTCTCTCTCTCTCTCTCTCTCTGCATTGCAGCGTCACGTCCCCCCTGAGTTGCCTCGATGTCCGGGCACTGCCCCTTCATGACCCTGAACTGTCATCTCGCTAATGGCTTTCCCCTTGATTTCCCCTTCATGCCCTTTTCACGTTTCCCATGATGTTCTGGTCATGTCCCTTCCATTCCTTTCAACTCCCCCTTCATGTCCCTGTCATTTTTGTCGGTATGTCCGCTTCATTTTCCATGCATGTCCCGTTCTTTCGTTGCGAGTCTGTTCCCCACATCTCCCGTCGTGCCATTGGTTGCTTTGTCCTCTGTTTCCCTTTCATTCCCCCTGCACTCCCCTTGTCTTTCATTTCTGTCCCTTTCATGTCCCTTTCAGTTCCCCTTTGTTTCCCTTTCATTTCCCGTTGCTTTCCTGCCATGTCGACTTCCTATTTCCTCCCCTCATTTCCTTGCACTTCCTTGCTGGAAACCTGCCCGGACCCCGAGACCTGATAGGCCTTATGACCTGAGTTTGACCTTGTATCTTTTATGTGGCCCAATGTTGGCCAAATGTTCGCCATTTGGTGGTCTTCATTGCCAGGCTTCACTTACCTTTTCCACTTCTTGCCCCTGTCTTCCCTTCATTTTGTACCTTTCTGCCGTCCTTTTGCCTCACGCGTTCGCGTTTTGGGGGTCGCGTTTTGCGTCGTCGTTGGGCCAGGCACCGTGGGCGGCTTCAGGCCCAGGCGCGGCGAAAAATCGGTTTGGGTACCAAAAAACGCAAAGGCCCCAAACGGAGGGTGCTCGCTAAAGATCGTGATGGCTGGGTGGTTGTTTTCTTTTGTTTTTGTTTTTTGTTCTTCCTTTTTTGTTTGGTTTCGTGTTTATTTGTTATTTCCTCTGTGATTGTTGGGTTGTCGTTTTCGTGTTTCTTTGCTAGTTCCCCCGGTTGGTTTTAAAGGGAATGATGGGTTGTAGGGCGCTCTGAAAATGATTGTTGGGTCCCATGTGAATCTGGGGAGGGAAAGCAACAAGCCAATGGGCACTTTGTCAGCAAGGCGAGACCATCTTGTTAAATCTTGTTCTATGAAACTAAGGTTCCTTGGCCTTGGGCAGATGTTCAGCAAAGGGAGGCCTTCCGGAATTGAGTCGGCAGCATGCATGCACATGCTGCATCCCCCCCAAAAACAAAGAAAAGAGACGAAACCAACAAGTTTTTGGATGGATTGGGGCTATCGCGCAGCGTGATTGGGCGCCCATTGCCAGCAAGTACCAGCGTGACAAGCAGATCGTCTTCCAGACAGACTCTGTGTGCCCTTAGCTCAAGCTACCGGATGTTTCCATGACACAGTGGTACACCAAAAGAAGAAGGTGAAGAGGTGAAGGGCAGGTGAAGCAGCTGAAAGGCTTGCCGAGGCACGCAGGCAGGCGCTGGAAAGTTGGTGGGTTTGCAGGATCAGGTCCGCCCGATACCGACTGGCGGATTGGGTGCAAGACATGTGGCGGTGGCAACCAAAAACCGATAAGCAACGAGCCGCTCAGTTTTGAATTTTAGTAAGGAACCACTTGGACATGAATCCCCACCGCATTATGATGTCCACCAAAGGGGCCCTAGATGAAATTCATGCCCATACAAAGAGAGAGAGAGAGAGAGAAAGACAGCAACTGAGAGAGACAGAGAGAAGAGCACAACAACACATCAGAGAGAAGCAGACCGCACACACACATATATTTTTTTAAATAAGGGGAAAACAACACATGGCAGTCATGTTTAGAGGGACCGCACGTTGGGTTCACCGCACGCGATCCAACATTAACACCTGTCGGTTTGGGCATGGCCCGCGGCGAGGGCTTCTTGGTTTTTTTTTGCTACAGCATGACCGAACCCACGACACATGGGGCGTCCCCATTTATTTTTTATTTTTATTTTTATTTTATTTTTCGGAGAGGCGTTTTTTACGCCCACTCAGGGGGGTGGCCTCTCTCTTCCCCTGGTGACTTTGAACATCACTTCTTCGGGATTGTTCCTTTTGCTGGGTTTTAGGCTGGATGTGTAAGGAACTCTGTGACAACCTTCCAGGGTAGAAGGAAACCATCTCCGTCACTCGAGCTGGAATTCCCACCATGGTTTTCTGGCTGGTAACCGCTTCCAGATGAGACAAACTTCATTTGCGATGTTCGAATTCCCGAATTGAGGGGTTGCCCCCCAAGTACCAGATACAGAGGGGTGCTTGTGTGTGTGAGGGTTTGAATGTGTGTGTGTGTGTGTGTGTGAGTGGGCGTGTGTGTTTGTGCATTTCTCCAGCTGGGTTTAGAGGGAAACCCAAAGGACCACTCTCACCAAGCCCCATTTTGACCAGCTTCGTGCAGCAGGATCCTTCCTTTTTTCACAAGCACGTGAACCCTTCGAAACCGCCATACCATTCACTTGGGGTCAGCCCCTCCATGAAAAAGTTTGACGCCCATATTCAAGGTTCCTTTTTCGGACCGCCCGTGGGGTTTGTCGTATACTTGGGAACCCCAAAAGGGGTGGTTTACCTTCCAAAGAGAGTGGGAACCTCCAAAGCCCTCCAAACAAAGTTTGCCCAACCCCCAACCCCTCAAAAAAGAAGACAGTTGTCGGCTGCTGGCGCACATCAGACACACCTGCAGCCTGCATGACACCTTAGACAACGGGGTCATCAGACAGTCATGGAGACTCCAGGCACATCCAAATGCCACAGGTCCGGTCACCGCCAAACAGGGTCACCCCATTTGGTTCGGGTGAGCGGCGAGCTTCAAACAGCCCCATTTTGCTGCTGAAACGGCCCCTCCAAACGGCAAACAGAGCCTCGAGGTCCCAATGACGACCCACCCGAGAAAAGGGTGTGGCTCAAAATTAAACGATCGGAGGGGCAAACCGCAGGTGTTGGTCCATTTTTCCACTTACCGGGGCAACCCATTCTGGCCCGGTTTTTTGAATTCGCCACAGCCAGATTCGCGAGGCAGAGCTGGGCCGATGTCCGGGACGCGCCCTACGAGCTGGAGGAGTTCGCGCCCTCCGCCGGCCAGAGGCTCCGATCCGATCCGATCTCCGCTTTCGGCGTTCGGGATCGATGGATGCGGTCAGCGCGGTCGAAGGAAAAATGGGGGGCCAACATGTGGAGGTGCCTGGAGTCGGAGAACATGGTCCGAAATGTCCGAATGGGTGTCATGCCCCCTAAGCAACGATGTTCGAAGGGTCAGAAGGAGACTCCAGGTGCGGCTTTTCAGGAGTTGGTGCCCCTCTTTAGGCGGTGCTTAAAGGGAAGCCAAGGAAAACCGAAGCCATGTGCTGGATCCACCCAAAAAAGAGACACCCAAATGGAAGCGCTGAACGGTAACCCCGGATCAATACACCTCTATTAGCAGGGGGGTGTCGGGTTCGTCAGTTTTTGGAGGGGAACGCCCCCTATTTTTCCTGCAGATTCAGATGGAATCCAAGTAATCCTCATGTCTAGAGTCGAACTCCTGGCAAGGGGAAACACCTAGGCTCCCCCCAACAAGAAGCTTATGGGCTCAGATTTTAATGGGTTCTGAGAACGATGCTGGGTCGGGCACTGATGAGCTTTCTTGGTGGCTATGCTGTCAATGAACAAAAGGGGGCTTCGGATTTCCGACTTTTCACCGCCAAATGGAGATTACCGATGTGTTCGTTTCAAATGGAACACCCCCTTAGCTTAAAACGATCTTAGCCATACAGCCTCGGCAGCTGGAGGTTAGAGAGGACAGTCTCAACTTGACATGAAGGCGTAATGAGATCCGCCCTTCGGATTCTTCCAATGGCTTTGGGTAAGACCCCTTGGTGTCAACGTTTTTTTTATTCTTTTTCTCGAGCACCTTTTTGGACATGTATGCCCCCCAAAAGTGCTGCTTTCCTCGAGGTCCCTCAACAGGTTCGACATGCCCCCGGGGTAAACGCGCTCGCCCTGGTGGAGACCCCTCCAAATGTGAAACACAATATTTTGCACAGGACAACTTCTCGTTGGACACAAAACAAATAAACCGGGTGTTTTTACAAGCAAAGCAACACACACACACACACACACACCTACCTGTATAGATATACCATCCATTTGGGGAGGGACACTGACAGCACTGGGTTCAGTCGAAGCACCACTTAGCTGCCCTAAGTACCCACTTTGAGGACTTGTGACTTGGAATCTATGAATAGACGGTGGGGAAAAACTTTCCTGTGATATGAATCCCCACTAAAGCCACAAGCACCCATCAAGATCAAGGGGGTTCAAAAAAGTCCGGTAGTTCCCCTGAATCCCGAGGGTAAAGTATTCGTTCCTAATGCTCGAAGCCGCGTACTTTGGCTGGAACTCTGGTTTGGTCTCACAGATGTTGGGCAGTTGACAGGTCGAGGGCCTGTGCGGAAAAAACCGGGAATTCCCAACATTCAAAGCCCCCTTGCTCCGACTTCTGAAAAGATATTTGGGTGGGTGGGTCGCAAATCCGCTCTGGGAATGGGTGGCTCTCAGAAAAATCAACTTCGGAGGTATGAACCGTTTGGGAAAGTGGTTTCCCCTTCTTCCGCAAGCATTTGGAACCAACTTTTGGGAATGAACCATTCGGAATGAGCCATTTGGCATCCTCTTTAAGCAAACCCATTGAGAGAACGTGTGCCAGGATGGTTTTCTATGTTGGTGGGAGGAAGGGAACCTATCGGCAATACCATTGTTCAGTGATTCCAAATGGTTCTCTTTATTCTCTACGCCGTTAGATGGATTCATTGCCCCTCTCCAACCCCTTTTTTCCCCCCGGTTAGATTGATTCTTAGTGGGATGGAAACCGGGGGATGGATGATTGGTTCTTGATGGATGCGTAGCTCCGCCAAACAGCCACTAGCCCCCAGTAGTGCCCTGTTGCCCTACTAAAATAGAAAAAAGAACAAGAAAGACCACAGTTCAAACTTCGCAACTTCTAACCTCTCAAATTTGGAGGACCTAGGCCAACCGTTTTTGATGGAAACCACTTTCGGTGGTGGAAACCGAGAACGTTCCGCAGGATCCTGGGCTCCCTCACCGGCCGGGGGTTCGGAGGCTTCAGCGGAGGCGGCGGCTTTTGGGGGGGTGGGGGGGTGGGGAGGAGGTTTTGGGGGGGGGGGGGCTGGGGGCTGGGGGCTGGGGTGGTTTCTTCAACACCTTTGCTTCTTCAAAGGAAAAACAGAACGCGGCAAGTCCAAGACGGTTTTGCGCGTTTGGAGTTTTTTGTTCAGCTCCGTTTCCATGTTCCCAAGTGGACATCTGACTCTTTGGTAGCACCAAGACATGCCACCCGCTGACCGGCCAACCACTGGGCTGCTCCAAGATTGCAATGCCGCCACAGGTTTCCCGACCTTTCCCTTCGAACCTCCCCACTGGGAAACTCAGTTGCTTTGCGGGGTGGGGCTAAGAAAGGTCTCTGACTTCCACTTCTCCCTGCGTAAAAAAAAAAGGATTCTCGAACATATCACAACATAACTCCAATTCACTGTCATCAGCTTCGAATCACTCACTTTTACGCAAATCGCAATGTTATTTTCAAAGGACCCTCCGTGAAAAGGAAGCTCATTCGGAAAAAACAGAGGAAGAAACAAAAACGGTTGTCCTTGATATGCGGATTCACCATGCTCATCCCGGCAAGGCCGCTTCTTTTTTGGGTTCACGTGCGGTCACTGGAAGACAAAGACATGGAGCCTGCCTGGACGCCTGACCCCTGTGACCCCTGTGTAGCCTGGTGACCTCATAATTCGTCACGTGATCGTTGGATCACGTGTTTAGGTTTTTTGGTTCTAGGTTTAAGGTTTTGAGGTTTTTAGGTTCTGTTCATTCTTAGTGGAGGGCTGCAAAAAATAATGTTTTTTGCTACCGTACCAAGGGTTGGACAGACCACCACTAATTTTTGGGTATTTCCAGTTGGAGTGAGGACCTTGGAAGAGTCACTTGAAAGGAACCCATCACCATTGTCCCTTGAGTAGGCGCGTTCCGATGTTGCCGTGCAGATCCCTCTGGAGACAAACTTGGTTGCAACATATTATACATATATATATATACATATATATATATACATATATATATATATACAAGTAAGTATATATATATATATACAAAAAAAAAAGAAGCACCCGGCAGCATGGACCCCTTAACATCCGGCTGCTACATCTGATTGGCTCGTGCCCTGATACCATCTGTGCCCGTTTTCAGGGCACCCCTTCGAGAATTCCTTTAAAAAAAGAGTCCAAAAAGCGGAACCCTCAAAAAAGACAAACCCGTTTGGAGGGGTGGCTTGCACGTCCAATGTGTCAAGGGTTGAGCCCTTTTGGCTTGTGAGAAGGGTCAGCATGGGGGACCGGCGCTTGACTTCTCTCAGACCCGCGATGGTTTGCACCTGGAGCTCAGTTCTGCATGTCTTGAATCACAGTGTTTGCGTTTTTCCCGGGACGTCCTTTTCGAGGTTGGTTTAAAGGCAAACCAAATCATGGTCGCTCCCAGCCATCGTTCCTTAGCTTTTTAGCCTTTTAGTGTTTAGTGGTAGTTTCCATTTATATAACCCACTAAAAGTTAGCGCGGGATCTGAGGGGAGCCCAGAAATGGACAACCACCATTCTCGGGTTTCCCCGACTTGGCCACACCCTGCGCCAGGCATGGACACGCACGCGCGGTGGAAGGAAGACTACGACGATGGCCGCTGGTGGCGCGCGCCCCAGGGAAAAGGGGAAGGGTCAAGCGGCTGGACTTGTGGAAATTACGAGCTCCGGTGATTCAGACAATCAAACAAGCAGGGCTAGCTCCCCCAGTGGTGCCCTCTCTCACCAACTTTTTTGGTTGGGAGGGTTCCCCTACTAAAATAGACTACAGCAAAAAGGGTACCCTTATTCGAACCTCTGTACCGGAGGACCTAGAGGGATATCGGGGAAGCAGGGATATGGACAGATTTGTCGGGTAATACTTCGACATGGAAACTCCTTTGCAGGGAATCCTCGCACATCCCCGCGTCCCTGGTATCCCCACTAATTTGTTTTCCTAAGGGATAACACAAGCTTATTACTTGGATCCCAGCATATCTCGCCCCGGGACCCCAGAGATGGCTGCGCCTTTTTTCTACCAGGACTGCAAGCAAGGCAGTCCTGGAAAACTGCGGGTCCGTTTTGCGGGACCCAGTTTTGTAGAGCCCCTATGAACAGAAGGTGTTTTGTTTGATTAATCCGGGGTCAACAAATTCACTGGCAGCTTGGCTCCAGCGGTCACCGACAGTCAGCATGGCCCATATGAGTCACAATCAAAATCCGGGAACGTGAAGGTTAAGGGACAATCCCAGCCGGAAAGAGTTGCGGATATCCTCCTTCTAGGTTCTTCAAGCATGGTGGGTTCACCATTTTCGTACCAGCTTATGATTGTGCCTCTTATGCCATCTTTGTGATGGACTACGAACTCGGCTCACTTCTTGGATGTTCGATTCGCCAAGTTAGCAAGTTGTTGGTAAGGTTATAACCCATCTAAAATTCGGGTGAACCTGGATAAAAGGGGGTAGTTTTTAATTGGTAATCACTTACTAACTTGGCCGAACATCCAAGTTGGAGATGCCAATCCATTCAGGGCCCATACACTGCACTTCTGCACCTCCCTCACAGTTTTCCAGTCGCTCTCCGGTGCTTGAGGTGCAAAAATGCTCGTTCCTGAACCCTGGATGAATTGCGGTATGTCACTGTATGTCACAAACAAGCAATCCCCCAAAGGAAGCACTTAATCATGGGGTAGGTGTTTCTTTGAGGCTTTGTACCCTTTATTTGAGAGATGGGGATGCCACCCTTTTCTTCACTGTTCTTAGCAAGTCTTTTGGTTTGGCTCCGTTCAAATTTTTAATAATGGGCTGCATTACCCATACCAAGGGTTTGATTTTTGACGTTTTAGTGGTTGGATTCAGCCCACTTTTGGAGGGAACACCTAGGACGGGTTCTACAGAAAGATCCGGGGTCCTCCAATTGGCCCATAGGGTGGGCTGCCGCCGGAGGTTCCTCCACGAGGCAGGAGATCCTTCGCGGGTAAGGGGCGAGTCAGGAAACAGGTTGGACAAAGTCAGGAAACGGGTTGGTCCAAGTCAGGAAACAGGTTGGGCCATGTCAATAACTACGTAACTCCCTGAACTTTAGTTTCACTTTTTGGTTTGCACCATTTTAGTGGAGAACAAAGTTGATAGGTTTTTTGTTTGCGAATTCACTCAGGAAGTGAGTCCCCAGAACGAAGGTTGGAGGATTTATCTTTTTTTGGGGGGGCGGGCTTGGGGTTAGGTTGGGGCTTGGGGATCTCTTGGCAGACAATTCCCGCAATTTCTGGCTACCAGACTGAGAACAGGGCAAAACAACAACAAAGTGGGGCACAATTTCCTGTTTTTTCAGGCTCCACACAGCATGAAAGGGCTGACAAGGTGTTTGGCGCCCTCTGGCTAGTTGGGGTCTGCCCCCCGGCCCCCCCCCACCCCACGCAATTTTTCCAGGAAATATGGAGTTTCTTGTTTCAATTTGTTCAGTGGCACCCTTTTTACCTTTCTTTCTATCTGGTGGCTTCCCTACTAAACCTACCATTGTCACTGAACAACTGGGTGTTGGGGTGATGCGCAAAGGCCAATTTGGGTTGACATCGCCCCATGGGTTGTCTGAAGTAATGAAGGGCAAACGTATTTGGATGAGCATCCCGCTTGCGAAGCGGCTTCTGCGGTTGATTCAAGCTGAAAAACGTATGGCGAGTAGACCAACCAAAAGCTAGTTGAGAAAGTGTTTGCTACCGGTCCCCTAGCTGCAACATGCGAATCAACCGCGGCTTTGGTTAATCAGCTTGTCAGGACTTTAGCCTGAATATACCCTACGTAGGGAGTATATTGGGTTAAGCAGGGTGGCAATCCAAGTTCCCTTCTAACCCGACCTCCTAGTCACCAATCCACTTCCACACATCGCCAATCCAGCCGCACATTTGGCATTGAGAGCCGGAAATGGTTTTGTGCGAGGGCTGTACCAAGAACTATTTTGGATGCAGCCAGCAGCTGCGCGTGACCTTGCGCGACACGGCGCGGAGTTTTTGCGCTGTCTACAGACTTTCTTGGCCTCGGTTCAAGCTGCAACCGAAGCACCACATGTTGTCTCATGTGGTGCATGCTCTGCAAAGGGCCGCCCACGGAAGTGCATGAGTTCTGAACCCTCTGTCCCACAGCGTCCAGATGGACGAGGACTTCATGGGCAAGATCGCCGCATCTCGCACAGGTCGCCGAACCAATGGTGGCCGATCGCAGCCCTGGGAAAGGCGACTCAAGACAAAAATCTTCGAGCCCATTTTGCCTCGGGCAAATCCGCCACTTTCATGAACGTGACTCAGTAAATGTTTTAAACGAGCAACGCGGCAATCCAGGTGTGTATATATCTCATATCGCGTTTTGGCAAATGGTTGTGTTTCCCACCCATACAGCGACTCACTATGTTCAGCTAGGTTTGCCCACCCCCAGATTTGAAGGAGGAGCGCAGTACGCAACTCCAGGGGGACTCAACATGGCGAGGGTCCAATTCCTTTGCCGGAGCGCTCGTTTTTTCCCTTAGGTTTTTAGTTGGTGTAGTGGTAGGGTTTCCGAATTCAAACTGCAAGTTGGCCAATTTTAGCAGGACCAGTGCCCAGGAAATCTGAAGGTAGCCCCCCAGCATAACCCCGAAGCCATGTGGGATTGCAATCTGTCAACATGTGCGCTTGCCACGAAGTACTTAACACATGTCTGAAGTTAAAGCTAGGAGATGCATTTGAACCCTGCCCCCCATCAAGCCCTGAGAACCTCTTCAGTCAGGAAGGCTCATGATTGCCTCCACCAAAGGCCAATGATGTGTAGCATTGCCAGACTTTTGCCGGCTTGACTTTGTCTCCTTGAATCGCCAAAATGCCACGTTTTTGTTCGGACCCGTCTGCCCCATTTGCTACCCATCCAACAGGGTCCAAATGGCTACAGTATGATGTTTAGAGGGAACCGCCTTCAAAGTGGTGGACGTATGCCCTACGAACAAAACACATGGAGGAAATGAGGGGCTTCCATTTGAACCCTCAAGCCCCATGAACCAATATAAGCGACCCTAAGAAGGTTTTTTGTTCACATAACATCCAAATGGGCGAGTCCTTCTTTAGCCCCGACACGGATTTGGGTTTTCCCTTTGGCTTCCCGTCTAGCCCAAACAAGGAGTACCAACTGCAGAAAACGAGGCCCCAGCTGCCCCAAAGGAGCCTACCTGGGCTTGTCCACCAATCCATAGCTTTCAGCTGTTGGGCAAAATCTGTTCTAACCCAATTCCAGGTACGCACAAAAGCAACAACATACCCTCTCTCAGCTTGGGGGAAAAAACAAAAACCAGGCAACAAAGGGGATGGTGCCTAGCCATCCCCCTAGCCTTTTAGCTTTTAGTGTTTAGTGGTGGCATGTAACCCACTAAAAGTTATCATTTTTTTTGCGGCTCTGAAAACGGGCAGCCCAGGTTAGCTGTCGGGGCGGGTTGAGGGGAGCCTTCTGGACCAGCTCGGCCAGGTGGCTGCAGTTCGGGGAGTGCGAGAAGCCAGCGCCGCCTGGGAGGAGCGGGCAGTGTGTTCGGTCGGGGAGGGGGGAAGGGCTGATGCATATATACTTCACTGTTCTTGGCATGTGTTTTGCTTTTTGTTTTTGTTTTTCGGTTCTGTTCAATTTTTTACTGGGGGTCTGCAAAAACAACGTTTTTAGCTACCATACCAAGAGTAGAGATGCATATATATATATATGCCCATAAATGTATATGAAGTTTCACATATGTATAGGTGTATGAATATATACCCGTGCAATGGCCGGAGCATGCGCAGCAAAAGCGCTCTGGAGGTGCACCGGCGAGCCATCCGTGTTCGCCGATTATATATATATATATATACATAAATATGCATTCGCATATGTATAGGTGTCTGAATAAATAAATCAATTAAATGATAAATGAAACAATAAATGAATAAATAAAAAACAACTAAACAAATGTATACATTTATATACATTTATATACATTTATATACATTTATCTACATTTATATACATTTATTTGGTTATCTATTTATTTTATTTATTTATTTATTTTTTATGCATTAATTGTTTCTGTATTAGTTAGTTTATTTATGTAACTATTTTACACTTCTGGAGGTTTGTGCGTGAATTATTTTGAGGTTACCTTTGTCACATTGGTTCAAGCGAAAGCCCATGCGTTTTCGCGTTTTTCGTTTGTGCGCCCTTTTCCGGAAGCGACTTTTCTCGGGACACCGAAAGGGGTTCTGCAGGGCCTGGTTCGCTTTCTGAATCGAAGTGGCGGACAACCGCTTTCCGAAAGGAATCCAACAGAAAAGGGGTGCCCTCAAAAACAGCCGCTGCTCAGGTGCTCCTTAATCGGTGGTTTGGATTGGTGGTTTGGGGGTTTGAAGCCCTGGTTCCCTAACCCCCAAACAACCAATCCAAAACACCAATTGGAGAAAAACTGATTGGCGGTTTCTGATTTTGAGATCGGTCGACCCATTACCCATTTGTTGGCTTTTGGAGTTCTATCCCGCGCATGGAAGTCACTCAATTCCTTGGGGTGCTGTAGTGCTTGACTCACTTCCTGAGTTCATGGACTTTATTCTTTTTGGGACCATTTAAGAGGCATACACAAAGTTTGACTTTGCTTTTGGGCCATCCACTCAGAAAGTGAGTTGAACATACCCCCCGGTTGCTGGTGGGCCCAAAAATGGGGGGCTGACCTGTTATTCGTGGAACGCTTCAGCAGGGGAACAAAATGGTTCCACCGAACAATTCTGGGTCCATCAGAGTGACATTCGTCAAAATGACCAACCACAGCCAGGCAAACCTTGTTTGTTCATTTCCTTTCCGTGGCTCAATGCAGGGGTGTCTTTTTTAGGGGATCCGCTTTTCGGTTTGTTTTACAGGGAAACCAAAGGGACACCCCGCCATTTTCGGGGTACCCTGATATAAGACACGCCCATGTGAGGGCGGGGAGGGCGGGGGGGGGGGAGCTACGGGGCACGCTGCGGCACCCAGTTGCTGGGGTACCACATAGCACAAACCTGCGGTGTTTGATTCGCCAATTAAGTTGCTGGTAAAGCAACTATAGGTTAGAACTTGTAACCCAGAACTCTCCCGTTTGGAGTTAATCCCGTGGCTACGCCAAGGGGGTAACCACTCCCTTGGCAACGAACTTCCAACTGAGGGGAAATTAATTCATGGGAACCCTGTTTGTAGTCAAGGTAAAGACGACCTTGGATTTCCAGGTCCCTCGGGTTGTGTTTGATTTCGCTTCAAACCAATCTCACACAAGGTACCGAGCCTCAAAACGCACATGCGATGTGTACTTCCTTCTTTCCGAGCTGCCAAGTTGTTTCAGTCCCCAAAAAGACTTGGCCTTATGGGGGGGTTGTTGACACTGGCCTTGACCGTTCTGGGTTTTGGTTTTGGGAATGAACCGGAGGGGGATTCCCTTAGAGGAAACTACCAGTTGGATGGTTTTGTTCGGCGTCATTCCATTTTCCATTCCCTGCCTATCAAACCAGCAAGTCATTTAGCCTTGGTTGGTGGTTTGGAATTGGATTTGAACGCTGGCTTTGTTGTAGAGGGTTTAGTCGGGAAACCTCTCGATTTCACCACCAAACCACCAATTTGGCTCCAAACCACACCTGAATTCAAAAGTGGAGCCCAAATGTTAGAAAACAACATGATTTGCAATTCTCGCAGCAAAACTCGCTTCTTGACTGTTCCCGTCACCAAGTGCCCGGCTGCTCGGGGTAGTTACCAAATCACCCTAGAAACTGACAAGGTCATTGACCCGGCAAAAAACAACGACTTATGGTTTTGCCAGACTTGTCTAGTTGCCTTGCCACCATGAAGCCAAATGGCCGGCTTGAAAGGAAGGGAAGAACCCCTGGTTCCTGTAGAGGGTAAATGGGAAACCGCCCCAGAACGCGACCGATTGGGTTCCCCATTCTCCTCACCCATCGTTCCCTTCAGAAACAACCTTTTTTTTTCCAGTGGTTTGGCCCATCTTTGAAGAGAAGCATTGCCAAAGAGGGTGGAAAAGGAGGGTACAGCTAGATCAACGGCAACCATTTGTGCTTTTTCCCTGACACCTCACACAGAAGTCCGAGGAGTAGGCTGTCATACACCTATCATAGGAACCTACGGGAAACTGTGGCTGCCAGACGAGCCCTTTACGAGCGGGCTGGGTTCGGCTGGGTCCCGGGTCTGGGCAGCTCTGGGATGGAAACTCAGATGAGCCAGAATCAAAACCCGGGTAGATGAAGGTTAATACGGGATACTCCCAACCATAACTCAAGTGGATTTGTTTGCCTTCTTAAGTCTTGAAGCATGGTTCTGGGTTTTGATACCAGGGTTTGGCATGGGGCTTTGTTTTGATACCGGGCTTGGATACCGGGTTTGGATACCGGGTTTTTATACTGATGGTTTTGCCAACATGATTCTTGACAGGTTCTGCGACCATTTTCATACCTGGAGTCTCCACGGTCATTACCCAATATAAGAAGGGGTCATGGCCAACCATTTAAGGCTCAGCAGGAGACTCCAGGTGCCACTGAGCACCCAGTGGTTTACCTCGTTTTACCCCCAGCCTCGTAGCGTGTCACAGAGGCAAATCAATTCCTTTCAGGGGACTAAATGCAAGAGCGCTAGATCCGAAACTCGTCAGATGTAAAGATGGGGTACTTTGGAAGTAGTGGTTGTCCTTTTGGCTTCCCTTTACACCAAAACGGTACCGGGCGGTTTCGGTGTATTGACCTCGAAGCCATGCATCCAAAATGCAGTCTTGACAAGAGCCACAGCACAGGTAGCCGAGGTAGCCGTGGCACGTCGCAAACTCAGCCGTCTACATTTACACCGGGTTTTTTGCTTATGACCTGATGCTGCTGTGGTTGTCCTTTTTGGCTTCCCTTCCCCAGAAAACGGGTACCGGGCGGTGGGGTTCGGCGTCGCTGGGCCTGGGCTCGATCGAAACGAACTCGTCAGATGCTGCCGGACGAGTTGGACCCGCAGCGCCTGGCGCTGCTGGACTTGGACTCCACCGCCAGCCGGGGGACTCGGAGCGAGATCCGCTTGGGGGGGGGAGGGTTTGGGGGGTTTGGGGATAGACGTAGACGAGGAAACGGCTGGGCCTGGGGTTTTGTCGGCTTCTTTTTCAGGAAACCGTTTGCTGAATGTCTGTTTCTTTGAGTTGAAACCATATAATCTGAAAGGGAGAATAGTTTTACAGTGTCCCTTAAGTTGGTTTTATAGGGGATCGAACGCACTGCTGGAAGTTTGTTTGATTTTTCCAGGGTCCTTAAGCAAATGGACGTTGAGCGTATCTTTTTGGGGTGGGTTGAAAGGGACACCAAAAAACTTCAACCGAAGCCATTTTTGGGGGGTCCCGCTACACTCCTTGTTCCTTGTGGTTTTCCAACGCAAAGCGGCAACCATTTCTTGGCGCCGTCAGGTTCCGTGGGCTTTTAGTCCATTTGAGTTGATTTAGTGGTTGGGTTTCTGATTTTAACCCACTACCAGTTCGTCCCCTTTAGCAGGGGATCTGAAAACGGACAGCCCAGGTCGTATGGAAGGGGAGAGATTTGGAGGAGAATTGGAGGCCCCAAACCTCCACTTTGATGGTTGGAACAAGTTGGTATTTGGGGTTTGAGCACAGACTTGGGTGTGGGTCAAAACCAATGGTACCATTTTGGGGTAGGTGAATTCACCACCCATTTTGGATTCTATTTTGGTGGTTGGATTGAATCGGATGTTCACTGGAACCTAACCGATTTGGTTTTGAGCCATGGCCATTCGTGAGTTCCAGGTCAGTCCTTTCAGGATGGTCTCACGCCTCAAGAACCGGATGTCGTGTCCTGCCAACACACGAGCAGCGGTTCCCACTCGTAGCTGGAAGGCGGTTCCCACCGGTTCTTTTCCGAGCTGGGCTGTGGGGCTGGGTGATACCGGGTGGGGCTGTGGGCCAAAGCGCTTCACTTTCCGAGGGCCCTGGCTGTTTGAAGCAGAAGCAATGAATTCAGGGAATGTGGGAGCAATCAGGGTACAGATTCTTATAGAAGTACCCTGCGTGGTGCATTCAAGGTACTTCTTTATCCTTCCCGTTAAACAAAAAAGTTCCGAGAAACAACCAGGGTACGAATTCCACACCCTTGATCCCAGATGAATGTTTGGCCCGTTGCCACAAGCTTACACACGTCCTGTGTCAATTTCAGGTTGGAAGTTCCAGAGAGCATTTTTTTGCTTTGGGTGGCTCAAGGAATCCAAAGACAAGCAACCGCCAGGGCGCCACAGGTCCCCAGATCTGAGTCTCTCAATGAGTGAACCCTCAAGGGTTTGGTTTCCATTTTCCCCCTCAAAACCTTCTGAGTGTCCATTCCTGGTTCCATTCGCTTTGCTCGCCTTTTTTGAGGGTACCCCGTTTTCTTTTGTGTTTTTTTATGGGACAGGGAAGCCGACGCCATCTTGGGGCTTGGGGCCCTGAAAGACGCCCCGAACACCTCACGCCTCGGGCTTGGGTTCCGTGGATTCGCGGTGCATGACCCCGGACTTGGTGAAGACCTGTTTGCTATGGAATCGGACTTGATCAAAATCCACCTGGGGTTATTGCTATGGGGGGTTACGGGGTTCCCGTTAGAGTGGTTAGTTTTCGATACCCTCAGACATGGCCAGATTGCTCAATACGGGCTTGTGCTTTTTTCAGCCTTCGCCCTTTCGGTTGGTTTGACGGGCAAGTTAAAAGGAAGATCCGCCCCAATTCAAGGCCGGGTCGTTTCAAAGAAAAACAAATACCCACATGACCCGAGCCACGTCTCAGCCAAGACGTGGCCATTTCAGCCCGGCTTTAACAAAAAAACCCACCGACCCAGGTACCGCCTCGGTCTTCCCGGCGGAGTTCTGCATCGCCGGGGCGGCCGGGGGCCAACTCGGTGACCAAATTTACTATGGCCGAAGACCCATGGATTAAGACTAGGTCCCCCAGTAGTGCCCTTCCTCACCCTTTTTTTGGGGAGGGTTCTCCTACTAAAATAGATGGTAGAAAAAAAAGGGTACCCTTATATGGTCGAAGACCCATGTATTGAGACCATGATGAAGGTCATTCATATGAAAAAGTTAGGCAGATGTGGACCTTTAGCACAAGAAACATTCGTGTGGGTGCGTGTTGTTCTTCAAGGCAGCCTTTTCGGCGTTTGTTGAACTACTTATTTTGGGGCTACCCCCAAATTTTCGCCGCAATACCCACTCAGGGAGGCGGAGGTCGCTTTTTTCCCAGTCGGGATGGACGGTAAGGCTTCGATTCATGAGGCTACAAAAAAGTCAAAAATAGTAACTAGGTCCTTTACTGTCCACCTCTGATTAATAAATACTTAGGGGTCCCCTCCCCCCTGAATGACCCTAAATAAAGTTAAGGGGACAAATTTCAGGGTCAGGAAAAGTTTAGAATGTGTTAAGTATTGGGCTCTGTTTTATTGGTTTTCGAATACTACTTTAGAATTGGGCCAATTCTAAAGTAGTATTGGGCCAAGAACGTTTGCATGCATTCCATGAGGGTTTGCATGGACTGGCATTTTTGTTGTTAAGATTTATTTAGGGGTAGTTGATGATTGGGTTGGGGAAACAGTTTAGCTTTATTTAGGGGCAGTTTTTTTTTACTAATCGTAGGTGAACATTAGTAGTGCCCTCTCTTACCCTTTTTTGAGGGAGGGTTCCCCTACTAAAATAGACTACAGAAAAAGGGTACCCTTATTCTAACCTCTCTACTGGAGGACCTAGATAAAGAGATGAAGAGATGAAGATAGACAAGGAATGACAATCAATTGAAAACCATGCCATGTGAACAATTGCCAACCATGAAATGTGAATTAACAAGGAAGGACATGGATACGACACAATATAGAATGTAATGATTGATAAGAGTATCCATGATAGCATTATATAAAGAAGAGCTGACTGATAACACAAAGATGACTCCATTTCTTTTGTAAACAAATACACTACAGTAACATAATCAATTAACTGTATACATGTACATACATGTGTACATACCTATAAATACATAATAATTATTATTGTTATTACTATTAATATTAGTATTACGATTATCAACACTAACAACAAACAACAATCATGATAATGATGTTGATGATGATAATAATGACGAACAGAACACTAATCATAATGATGATGACACCAATGATGATAATAACAACACACATAGTTTAGTAGGAATAATGATACCACACATAACACTACTACCAAGCACCAAACAAGAGGAGTCATACTAATGACAAATTAGTAGAATTCTATAGTGTCTATATAAATGAGTGATATACCATCGCGTTTAGCGGTTGATTTTCACGCGGAAGTGACTACGGAATGTTGCTTAACCACTTTAAATAAGGCAATCCAAAATCTATCACCCTCCTTTCCATTAACATGGAAGCCACCAGAGGGTCCCTTGTAAAGAAAGATAGTCTTCCAGGACCCCTCGGCCAGGTTCCACGTATTAATGGACAGGAGGGAACACAGCTGGACATCCCTGAAACTGGGTTGCTTTGACTTTTTACTCCCTAACCCCAACAAGTTTTTTCCATTTCCTTTACGGCCTAGCCCCCTCTACGGATTCACATGGAACCCGGAAAAGCCAGGCGTTTACGAATCCAGAGATTTGGTGTTGCAGTCCACGAGAACCTATCGGAAGATGGGATCGACGGTGATCTTCTTGGCTTAGCCATAGGTGTTTCTTTTCCGCTTGTTTGGTTAAAAATAGATTGCGATTTGTGGTTCACCTGGTTGTACCTCATCGTTTACCAGGGAAATCCATCTATTTTCAGCCAAAAAGAACCCTATGCTCTTAAGCCTTCCAATGATGGAAGTCGATAGGCTTACTTGATTGGAAAGCTTTCGTCCTCCAACCCCCGAGCCGACTGTCAGCTTTCATTGTTGGGAAGGTAACCCGCATCCAGAAAGAAGAAGGTTTGCCTTATCCTTACCTACCAAGGTTTTCCGCTTCAACAACAAAGAGGCCTTTTCCCGCACAAAAGAAGGGTTCCCTTTTTCCGACCAAAAAAGCAAGAGGGGTTGCCCCATTTTTTTTCTTCTGGGGGGGACCCCCTTTGTTTGGTGGTTTGAACTGCAAACAAAACGGACAACCACGATTGGGGGTCCGCTAAACAGAAGACAGGCCCATCTGTTTGTCGCCGCGCGAAAGCGGAATTTGCTTGTTCGCTTCCAAGGATCCGGAGGGGCCCAGGCGGTCCGGCACCGTGTGCCCAGGAGATGGATTTCGGATTGGGGGGGGGAGGGAGCTTATTTGGGGTGTCTTTTTTTTGGAATCGCTCCAAAATGGCTTCGGGTTCCGTTTGGTTCGCCTTTAAGACCCAACCAAAAATTGGCGTCCCCTGAATAGAAACGAAGATTTGAGTGTGTCAAAATACGGAAAACGGGACCCCAAAATGGTGATGTTCTCAAAGGGTGTCCCTTTCTTTAAACAGGCTGCCCTCACTTGGGAGCCACACCCATGTTTCCCTTTTCAGCATCACCTTATTCAATTGGCTGTGGTCCCTGGTGGTTTCATCGCGACGTTGATTTGCGAGTTTCCTCTTTGAGGGATGTTTAAGGGGGGGAGGGGTTGGCCACTTGGGGTCTGTGAGAACACCTGGAAGGAGCATAGTTTCCGGGATAATTATACTAGGTCCCCCCCAGCTAGGTGCCCTTTTTCCCACCCCTTTTTTGGTTGGGAGGGTTCCCCTACTAAAATAGGCCACAAAAAAAGTTGGTACCAACTTGTTCTAACCTCTCTACTGGAGGACCTAGGTTATAGTTTCCGAAGCAGTTGATGGCCTGGAGCTGGTGGGCAACCAATGGCCCTACCTGTTTTAGCCTCTCCGAGAGGCGCGCTCCCACGCATTTGGTGGCCTCAAAATCGGTTGCTTTGAGCTCCCCCACTCAAATTCCCTGTCGTTTTCCCTCCATTTCTGCTTCAGTTCCCACGCATGCCCCCTTCAGTTCCAATAATTTCCTCTAGCTCCCTTCGTTTCCATTTCTCCTTCGTTGCCTTTCATTTCCAATGTCGGCGGATTCTGAGCCTATCTGGTTTCCCGTTTGAAAATCCACCCCTTTGAAAATCCACCCCCAAAAGTCCCTTCAAAGAACCACGCCAACAATCTCGAACATGGTGCTGTCATTTTTTTTTAAAACGTGGATTCCCTTTAAACCACCACCCCAAAAGGCAAGTAATTGCCAAGGGAAAACCCCCAAAAAGGGGGCAATTGCCAAGGGAAAACCGACGCCGCCGTCGGAGGATACTTGGTGGCGGCCTTCGGGGACAGTCCCTATGAGGTCGCAGATGCTCCTTGGCTGTTGCTCCTTTCGATCGGATCAGCGGCCAGGTCCCCCAGCTAGGTGCCCTTTCTCGCCAACTTTTTTGGGTTTAGGAGGTTTAAAATAGTCACAGTGTTGGTACCAACTTATTCTAACCTCTCTACTGGAGGAATAAGTCGGATCATCGGGTCACTTCATACCCTGGATGGTTGCGAAATCCACTTCGCACCGTGAATCAGTGAATTGAGTTACCATGATTGAAACCATTTGTTTGCTGGTGTTTACGTAGGGGAATGGAATCAGAAATCAGGGTTTTTGCTACGGTGGTGCGAAATGGATTTCGTCCATCCACAGATCTTCCCATTTGATCATAATATGTAGTGGTTTGGGGATTCGAATGCCGAGGGAAACCAGCTCCCAACCACCAATTACTTCCATTCGCTGAAATGTGTGTTTTTGTTGACAAAAACAAATCCCTTGTTGGTTTGGAAGGGAATCGATTTCACGACTGGACACATTTTTGTTTTTTTCTCCAGGGAAGTCTGAGCCCCCTACGAATTGGGTTCTCTGTTTCGCGCTCCAGTTTATGGGTGTCGACCACTTGTTGGGGGAGAGAGTTTATGAACAAGAGCAAGCCTTTTGGTGTCTTTTTCCCGAGTGGTATGTGAAAACACGTGCAGCATAGACATCCCTTGACTGCTCTTTGATGAGGAAAACCTGCAGCGACACCCCTATGGTTTCAACCAATTCTTGCACACCTCACTCTCCGAGGGGGGCACGTTCAGGTGAAACAATAATACAAATTTGGGGTGTTAAACAAAATCTTAATAGGGACCCCTTGGTGGACATCATAGAGTTCGGGATTCATGTCCAACCACTGTTGAGGTGGTTCCCACTAAAATTCATAGCCATCTAACAAAACATCCTCCACCATCTTCTGATGTGGTGTCCATTGAGATTCATAGCCATCTACAGCCTTGGTGGTTCCCGGCCATCCCCTTAGCCTTTTAGACTTTTAGGGTTTGGTTGGGGTTTCCGAATTTAAACTAGCAGGGGATCTGAAAGCGGACAGCCATCTAAAGCCACCTCCTTGTCGCCCACCTCCCGCGGGCTCCCGCGGGCTCCCGAGCTCAGGCCATGTGGACTTTGTCGCAGGCCTGGTGGGCCCTCGTTAAGGCGGGAGAGAAGCAAACCATGTCTCGCGAGGGGGCCGGGACGTGCAGGTGCTCCCCTCCAAAAGTGGGTCTTTTGTTTCTTTAGGTTGGACTCCCCCTCCCCCCAAAAAAGAAGGTGGTGTTCCTTTTGGTCTCCCTTTCAAACCTGCAAAAAGGGTACCAACTCCAAAAAAGGACTCTAGACCCAAAGTGGCGATTGTTTCAATGGACAGTCGGACACACCACCCATTTTTCTCAGGCTTTTCCTTTGAGAGAAACTGGGTGCAGATAATAGGAACTGAAGGCCTGCAAAGAGGGCGTTTCCTTTTGAACCCCAAAAGGGGTACCCTGAAAAGAAAGGACATACTTTCTTCGTTCTTCGGTGGTTTGGATTGGGAAAGGTACCTGACCGTTTCAAACCCCACCGTTTCTCGGTGCATCATTCGGTTCCTCGTCTCTTTTTTTTGGTGTAGTGTGGGTGTCCATTCAACCCACCAAAAGTTAAAACTTTTAACAGGGGATCTGAAAGCGGACTGCCCAGTTTTCTCAGCAACCCCAATCAACATGGTTGTTTCTAACCCCAAATGGACATAGCCCACCTATAGGCCTTCTGTCGGGATGGATTTTGGGGTATGTACCCTAACCCATGTACCACCAATTTGAGGGTACGACTATTTGGGATATGGCTGTGGGTCAAAACCAATGGTACCAGTTTTGATTTGAAGCTAGGGTACGACTATGTGGGATATGCAAGTTGTTTCCTGCAGAATGATTTCAGTTGCATCTCGTTGCACTCTAGAACTACTGGATGATACGTGCGATTCTCAGAGAGTCGACAGGTCGACAGGTCCCTTGGGAGGCGGGGGGGGGGTGTATGGCGAGGCCACGAGCCGCCTGGTGACGCTGGTCTTCGTGACTGGCTTGGGGGGCAACAGCCTGGAGGCGACGGATGGACTCACCGTTCCGGCGTTTCTGGCGTTTTCCTCGCGCTTTTGGCCCGCCCTTTCTCACCTTTTTTTGGGTTGGGAGGGTTCCACTACTAAAATGGACTAGAGAAAAAGAAACGGTAGCCTTATGCGAACCTCTCTACTGGAGGACCTAGCTCTGTTGTTTGGTGTGCTTTCCGCGCTTTTTACCTGGCTTTAGTCATCAAGTCCACTGGCATGGTAAAGTGTCACGTGGTAGTGCTTGAAAGTGAGGCCAAAAGGAACGCCTCGGTTTTTAGGAGTCATGATCCCTCCTCACAGTTTTTAGGCAGGAAGTAAGGGTGGGTCACCTGTAGGGCGATCAGGTTGAAGAATCAAGCTTCTTTTTTGTTGAGAGCACCCCGGTGTCCCATGAGTGGTTTGGATTGGATCTGGGACGAGGCCTTTGTTGAAGTGGGACACTAGCCTGCAAGCCAATCCAGGGCTCCTTAAAAGAAATCTCCATTTTGCCACCGTTTGAAACATGTTGCTTTCTTTTTCACCACCAAAATAAGTTGGTAAGAAACCACCATTTTCAAGTTGCAATGTTCATGTGTCTTTCATGTAAGGGGATCTTTGTTGTTCTAACCTCTCAAATCTGGAGGACCTAGTTTAAAGAACCCCTTACCTTGTCTTTCATGCATCCGGATCCCAATCTGAACGAGGGAAACCGAGCTGGTGATTCACGAGCCCCCAGGAACGAGAGCCGCATGCGCAAAACCGATTGGGGACCTCCCCGGCGACCGGAGGCTTTTTTGGGTGTGGCTCAGAATGAAACAGGGTTACCAAACCGCAGGTTTTGGTACCCATGTTTCCACTTACCATGGCAAGCCAATCTGGAATTCCGGCTTTTTGAGCCACAGCCTTTTGAGATGCGACCGGAGGATGGCACGGTGTGTAAGGTGTTGTGTTTTGCAGCTCGAGAAATCCAGCGAACAGATGATGATTCTTGCCTGCCAGATTGAATGTGGAGTTTCCATGGTTCCGTTCGCTACCGCTTGATGGTTGTCAGGGAATCAACAGTTTTTTTTTGTTTTTTTTTTTGGTGGCGATTCCCTTGAGTGGAAACCGCTCTTAGGAGGATTCAGATGCTTGTGTCCTTCCCATTTCCTGCTGATCGAACCGATCGCAAGACTGCCATGCCTGAGGGTTCATCGGTTCTGAGCCTTTCTGAGGAGCCGTGAGCTCACTCCCTGAGCTTGAGTCGCTTGAGTCACTTGGGTCACCATAGCGGTGAGCTGCTGAGGTGCTGAGGTGCTGAAAGAATGGGCCCGTCCGCGCAGCTTGGTCGGCCCTTTTGTTGTGTTTTTCTTTTTTTTCTTGGGGGGGGGGGGGGCGGTCCCCTCGGACCGAGTTTTGGCCCGCGTGTTTTTTTCTTGGGGGGGGGTCAAACCGAAGCTCCCTTTTGCGTGTGCCAGGCGGACGCCCATGAGGAGGCCAGCTTTCTGGAGCTGTACCGGCGGTGCCTGATGCAGGCGGGGAGTTGGGTCTCGAATGGGGTTCGGGAAGCCTCCGGTCAGCGTTGAGTTGGGTTTTCTTCTTTTCTCAATGTAACCAAACAAAAACAAAACAAAACAAAACAAGAAAGTTGGTGGTTTTGTAAGTGTTTGTCAACACAAAACAACACAAGCGCCGCTTTTTCAGGCAACCATCAGCTGATTTGGAGTTGAGTTTGAAGGGGTCCCTGGCTATTGTAGAGGGTAAATGGGAAACCGCCCCACCAAACCACCAAACCACTGGGCCAGTTCAAAGGGAAGCATGATTCTCCATATCATACACACCGAACATGGAAGTGCACAGCCTGCAGAAAGACTACTTTCCTCTTGGACAGGGGCTTGCACTTCCATGTTCGTTTTGTTGGAAGAGGAAACCAGCCAACCAGAAATTCCCACCATTTTGGGGGAGGGGGGCCAGCCTAACAAGACAGACCCGTCTAGGGAAACCGCGTACCTGATTGTTGGGTTTTAAAAGGAAGCCAAACCTGACAAGACAGACCCATTTTGGGGAGGCCACGTTTCTGTTTGTTGGGTTTTCAAGGAAACGCTGGGGGGGGGGGGGGGGCAGCTTGGGACCCATTTGTTGGTTTAGCCGCTTGGGGGGGGGGGGGGCTGGGGGGGCCTGGAGGGGCAACGGGGCAACGGGCAACTCACCGCTGAGCTCCTAGGCCCCGGCTCCGCTGATCTTCGCCGCGCAGCGAAAGGGCGGAGGCAGCTGGGTGGTTCAACCCGCAAAGCGTCCGGTCCCTAGGGTTTTAACAGGGCTCCTTAAAAGAAATTCATGTTGCAACCGTTTGAAACATGTGGCTTTTTCCACCAAAATAAAGGGAAACCGTCAGGTGTAGAATGTAAAGGATCCCTGTTTAAGCTGCTTTTAAAGGGTTTAGTGGGGGGTTTCCCATGCTCCTAGGTTTAGTGGTTGTTTTTTTTGATTTGTTGAAGAAGGAACATGTTTTGCGATCTTCCCCTGCTGGTGTTAAAAGGAACCTATCAGCATGGTTTAACGGGGAGGGAGAGCCACATTGAACTTGGTGGTTCCCAGCCATCCTAGGTTTTTATTGTTGTGGGGTTAAGTGTTTGAGTTTCCGAATTGAAGCATCAGCTTGGACAGCCCAGTTGGAAGCTGACAGGGTTTCGGTATATGGTGTCTCAAAAAATGGTTGGAACCTCCAAATTTGAGTTGACCCGCAGCCATTTAAGCATAGTGTTTTGGCCGCCAGATGAGTTCCCGGGTGTTAAAAGAGGGCACTTTCCTGAAGAAGCCCAAATTCCTGATCAACAATCTTATGAGTCAGCCTCGGATGGTGAGCTTGTGTCATTCTCAAATGGGTGTGGTTCCTCTTAACCAAAAAAACAGAAAAATAATAACGGGTTCCCCCCCAAATGATGGCGTTCCTTCGGTTTCCCAAAAAAGGATCCTCAAAAGAGACACCCCAAGAAAAAGGTTGGAGCCTCCAAGTTTGCTGGGGTTCTCCTTCGGTGTCCCTAGACAACCCAAGCAGCAGCGGTGAGTGTTTCTCGTTGCCAAAGGTGACCCCCAAGACTTGACTGCTATTGGGTTGGATCTTTAGACTTCAACTTTTTGGTTGAAACCAACTTTGGGTTTTTAGACTTCAGCTTTTTGGTTGAAATCAACTTCGGGTTTTTTAGACTTCAGCTTTTTGGTTGAAATCAACTTCGGGTTTCTTAGACGTCAGCTTTTTGGTTGAAACCAACTTCGGGTTTTTTAGACGCCAGCTTTTTGGTTGAAATCAACTTCGGGTTTTTTAGACTTCAGCTTTTTGGTTTAAATAAACTTCGGGTTTTGGTTGAAACCAACTTCGGGTTTTTTAGATGTTAGTTTTTTGGTTGAAATCAACTTCGGGTTGTTTAGACTTCAGCTTTTTGGTTGAAATCAACTTCGGGTTTTTTAGACTTCAGCTTTTTGGTTGAAACCAACTTCGGGTTTTCCACACCCACAAAAATAGGTTTAACTTTTTGCGGCGTGGTCACCAGAAACCAAGAAGAGGTGCCTTTTGAAAACGAGGTGCGGGCCAGGCAGCTCCCAGATCTGCGAAGGGTCGCAGCGTGGAAACGACCCGTTGCCCCGCTGCCCAGCGGATTCCGCCCCTGCCCTTTTTTTTCCCCCGTGGAAATCCACTGGGCATCTGCGTATAAAAGTGGGGGTTTCAGGCTGGGTTGGGCTTTTGTTGGGGCTGCGTGCGGGATTTTCGGTTTTTTCGTTGGGTCGTTGGGTCAATATCAAGAGACGCAATCCATGTTAGTAGAACTACCAAAAGTTTGTTTAACTTTTAGTGGTTGGGTGGAACCCAAATCCAGTGTTCGGTTTTTGGGTGGGTACCTGTTTAAAGAAGACTCCCCCAGTTTAAGCTTCGAGTGCTGGAACAAATCCGATTCTTAAGCTTCACTGGTGTTGGCATGTGTTGTTGTTCCCGTTGGTTTTTAGGCTGTTTGGTTCTCTTCATTTTTAGTGGGCTGCAAAGAATCAAAAGTTTGGTTGTTGCAAGCCCATACCAAACCAGTTGAGTTGTACAGCGGGAAGCTACAGGGAACCCACACGAACTGGGGGGAGAGAACGGATGGAGGCCGGCGGCCGCGGCTGTTGGGGGGCTGGCAGATCTTGAAGGCTCACAGGGACCAGGCGCGCGGGGGGACGAAATCCGTTTGCACCAGGCTCTGAAGGACAGACCCTTTTGGGTTTTTTTCTATGTTAACACATACCCATATGCGTGTCTAGAAAAGGGGGGGGGGCGATACCCTTGCGATTGTACTGTAATTATCTGGCAGCAACCTTTCCAGCATCCGTTCCTTCTAGTTTCCACTAGGCGACCCTCAAAATCAGTGGGTTCCTTTGGCCCTCTTCAAAACCACTCCAAAAGTGGTATCCTCAAAACCGTCCATTAGCTTAAGAATAGTTGCGACTTTCCCATTTGGGTTTTAAAAGGAACCTATCAGAACTAAACATGTTTTTTCCAGGGGGCTTAAGCAAATGGAAGAACCAGACTCCCCCACACACTAGTCACTTTGCGGGTTTGGACCAAATTGGCAAATGAAGTACCCCCCCCCTACATCCCCCTGCCTAAAGAACCCCGTAAAATGAAAACGGTCCAAGGACTTGGGTTTTTTCGGGCCAGGCACCGCGCTCGGAGAAGCTTGGGCAGTTCGGGGATCGGATCGATCGGATCGAGAGGCGGAGGAGTGGCTGCACCCGGGCAGTTGGAAGTGGGGCGCGGGCGCCCAGTCGGGTGAGCGGTTTGCGGTTTGGGTTCGGGGGGGAAGGTGGGGAGCGGATTTTTGGTTTGCTGAGTTGGGTGTTGGAGTTGGGTGTTGGAGTTGGGTGTTGGAGTTGGGTGTTGGAGTTGGGGTGGGGTTAGGGGCTTGAGGTGGACTTGGTGTGCTTTTTGTTTGGTCGGTCTTTTTTTGTTTGGGGGAAGGGCAGGTGGCGGAAGGAAGTTGGTTTTGTGGGGGATAGAAGGAGCTTGAAAGAATCTCGAGTTGGTTTCGAAGGGGGAGGAAGGATTGAACGAGTAACGACGTTTAGGTTACCCCGCATTGTTGGTTGGGATTGGTGGTTGGGGAATTTGAACCCTGGTTCTTGTACTGTATAAAGGGAGAACCACACCCCAATCTCCAAGCACCGTGCTCCAAACCAGGGTTGGCTAGGAGGAAGCTTGCGCTAGCAGCACTGAGCTCCAATTTCCATTGGGCTTCCTTTTGGGTATTCTGTTTCGTTCAAGCGAAGGTAAGTTGTAACCCAACTAAGGGCGGCAAACTCCCTCAACGTCCCAATTCCTCATTTCTCACCCATGGCGCTTGAGAAGATTCCCTCAACGAAGCTCAAACTTCTTATTTGTTTGTCATCAGAGGTCGAAGACCTCCATTTGCCTAGGACTTTTTTTGTTTTTTAAAATATTTTCCCTTGTTGGTGTTAAAAGGAATTTAACACTACTGGTCATATTTTGTACTTTTTTTAGGGGTCTTAACTTAACCAAATGGAAGAAGATTGGCCGGTTTCTTCATCCTATCCACCGACAGGGTTTCGGAGCAAGCCTCTTCCCCGAGAGCTGTTGCGCAGGGCGGTTTTTTGGTTGGTTCCACCTCGCCTTTCTCCAAACTAGGTCCCCCAGTAGTGCCCTTTGACCAACTTTTTTTGGGGGGCCCTACTAAAATAGACAAAACAAAGAGAAAAAGTTGGTACCCTTATTCTAGCCTCTCCACTGCAGGACCTAGCAAACCTTGGCCGAAATTCTGTCGTCGCCTGTCGGACATGACGAACGAGCCTTCGCTTGGCCCAAAGCGCGCTGAGGCGGAGCAGAACGCTGGGGCTCGGCGCCGTCCGGGCCCTCTGGGCCTTCGCATCCCGGGCGCGGCGGCAAAGGCGCAGGCCATTGCAAGGGTTCGACCGCTTGAACCCAGCGGAGTTCAATGACCGTCGCGAGAGATGGGTGCGGCGAACTGGACTGCGCGAGTTGTTGAGCTTTGCCATAGGTGTTGGGTCTCCCTGTCTATGAGTAGTCGGCAAGCTCTTTGAGTTAGCTGTAACAAGACGGCCAGAGAGGACCTGTTTGTTTCTGAAGACATTGAGGAGCTGTTAGCGGATTACGCGACACTAGGTTGGGTGTCGGGTTCAGCTCCGGATGATGCGACAGAGGTCCTTGAGATGATGAAGGCCTGCGGCAGAACTTGACTTTTGAGAATCCTTATGGATTAGTAGGGCCGATACCTTGCGGAACCCTGTTCTCAGGGATTTCCTCTAAAGGTTCTTCGGGGCTGCTCCGCCTCTTCCCTTGTCGTTCTTCGTGGCGTTTGCACGGGGTTATTACCCCATTTATTCATTACCCATTTACCTTGTTTACCAGGGGAACCTATCGTTTTTCTCCGGCAAAGGCCACCAACTGCGCGGGGCAAACATTTTCTCGCCCACGAAGCCGCGGCCGAACACTTCGGCCTCCCGCTGGCCTCTCGCTGGATCCATCGGTGAGGCCGCTGGGAGGATGAGGCCTGGGACGCCTGGGAGGCCTGGGAGGACGACTCCGAGGCGCGCGGAGAGAGGACGCGACGCGTCTTTGAGAGGGCGCGCAGGCAAGGGGTGGAGGTTCGCGCCGTGTGTTTTGTTTGCTTGTAAAGTGTCCTTCCAGTTGCTGAAATGTGTTGTTTTTCTTTTTTTGTATTTGTGTTCCCTTGTTGGTTTGAAAAGGAGTTTATCACTACTGGACATGTTAGTATTTTTCGCAGTCAGGACTCCTAACCAAATGGAAGTTCCTCAACAGCTGAAAGCTGAGGAGTTGATAGGCCCAGATATTCAGGGTGGGGCAGCTGAATCAGGGAGGGTTCAAAAGGCTCCAGGGGGTTCCGGGGCTGTTGGGATCCACCTGTTGTTGTTTTTGTGTTTGCTTGTTTGTTTTTGGGGTGCGTCAAAAAGAATGGATTTCGGTGCTGCTTCTGGTAGCTTTGAGCATGTATCCTCAGAAAACACACCAGTTGACCACTTGAGGGGGTTCAGGGTTCGCCCCAGATTCGTACTACCTTAAGGGTCGTGCCGACCCCCGGACCCTCCAATGGAGAACCGTGATGAATTCCTCCACGGGCCCTCAACGACAACCCATTTGGAGGGCCCAAAAACAGTCGGGACCCTTAGGGTAAGATGGAGTTGGCGCGAACCAACCAAACCAACAGTTTCATTCTCAGTCCTCCTCAACTCGGAGAGTCCGGAAGGAGAACCAGCCATGAGTTCCTTTTCGCTCTACTGCTGTTGGGTTGGATCTTCAGACTTTAACTTTTTGGATTCCCCTCATTTCCTTTAACCAGCAAAAAGTTGAACTTTTTGCTGGGGGATCTACAGCACCCAAGTTCAAGCCAGCTGACTGACTGCGAAAAGTTGCCCATACTGTGGATGGACGAAATCCGTTCGCACCACTTGGAAACTATGGGAAACCATTGTTTCTTGGTATTAGTATTTACCGGGGGATCATCATTGCATGGTCACTTGGGTGCCCGGAAATTTGATCAGACCCCATGTCCCGGGCAGTTCACCTTGTTGGAAGCATGATTTGAGTGGTGAACAACAAGGACGCATTTGTGTGAACCCACTCAGGAAGCGAGCCACCAAGGCCGCTGTCATTATTTTAGCGATTTCTAGGGGTGGTCGAAGTCAACAAATCTGGGTGTGTTTCGCTTCAATTGACCGCCTTGCGCAACTTGTAGAATGGTAACAACATGGGGCCAATTGAATAGCAACGCGGAGCTTCGGTGACCTCCTTGTTTTGCATTGAAGCCAGAGGGCACAGTCAGAACGAACTAGGATACGCGTGTTTACCCTCTCCAGTATGCTTGCATCGATGGTTCCATTTTCGGTGGTTCTGTATCCAACGCAAGGGTCAGACAAAACCACATTGGTGCCGTTTTTCCCTTGGGACATGGGTGTCAAAGGGGCACTGCAGACAAATGGAGGTGTCTTTTTGAAGGGGACCCCCCAAAATGGTTACCCTCAAAAAGCGGCGTAATGTTTTGTTTTGGTCTTTCCCTGAGAGCCAAGGCGAAACGGCGGCCTGCTCAAGATGGCGTTGTTGTTTGAAGCTAGCCAGGGACCCTGAATGGAAGCTTCAAAACAACACTACTCGCCCACATGTGGGTGTCGTTTTCTACCGGGACCCATTTTGGGTTGGCTTAAAGAGAAACCAGCAGGAAAACTAAAGCCATTTCGGGGGAATTCAATCCTCAAAAATGGACACACCCACGCGGTGGTGGGTCCCTTTAACCATTTCACCGCATTTCCATTTCAACCCCGTTCTTTTTTTAGGGTCTGCCTTTTTTGAGGGCTGAGACGAACGAGAAAAAACACAAACCACGAGGCCCACCGAAAGAACATCTTTTGGGGGTGGGGGCTCCGACCGAAACACCCACCAACCCCCCCCAACCAACCCCTCCCCAACCAACCCCTCCCCAACCCCACCCACCAAATTCCCCCACCAAATTTCCCCACCCACGCCACGCCACGCCACGCCACGCCACGCCACCCCCCCCCCCCCCCCGCCCCCGGCGGCCGCGGGTTTTTTCGTCGGCTAGGACGCGCTCCTGGAGAGCGTCACCGCCTTCCTGGGCTCCGGTCCCAAGGAGGCCTCCCTTTCGGGGGGGGAGGTCAGTGGCTCCCCCCAGCCAGTCGCGTTTTTTCTCTCACCGTCTTCTTTCTGGTGGGTTTTGGGTTCAACCCTACGTACTAAGAGAAGAACAAGGAAGAAAGTGGGTGCCAACTTGTTCTGACCTCCCAAATCTGGAGGACCTAGGAATGCTTGGGGATGGGTCAAAAAAATCAAATCGTACCCCCAGTGAACAATTCTCAATCCCCACTGAAATCGGTTCTAAAATGGGTGGTGCAGCGAAACCAAAATGGTACCATTGGTTTTGACCCACAGCCACTTGGGTCCAATGTTCAATGGGGAAGGCTTGAGACAAAGCTGCGACCACTAGAGAAATTGGTTTTTCTTGCGAGGTAGAGTTATCTTGACTGTTTTGCGATCATGCTTGTTTTTTTTGGTTCTGTTCATTTTTAATGGGCGTGGGCCATCGGCGCCAAATCGGAAGCTTTCAGCTGTTGGTTGCGAAAACAAAAGCAAGACCAACCAAAACGAAAGCTGAAACTTGAAGTAGGGGGTAACATTGACATAACGAGGCCAGGAACAAAAAAGAAAAAAGTACAGCCTGGAGTCTCCGAGTCTGCCCCTCAGAAAATGGTTGACGTCACCCAAAGTTTTTAGGGGTCAAACACCCACGTCTTGTTTTTCGGGCCAGAAAATCTGGGGGGGCTCCGCGGCTCGCGTTCCGTTTCGCCGGCCGAGTTTTTCGCTGGGTTCGGTTCGGTCGGTTCGGTCGGTTCGGTCGGTTCGGTCGGTTCGGTCGGTTCGGTCGGTTCGGTCGGTTCGGTCGGTTCGGCGTTCGCGAGGTGCAGGAGTTGGCCTCCCTCTTCGCGGGCCGCTTCAATGCCGTGGCTCGGAGGGGCGGAGCGAGAAGGGCGGAGAGCGAAGCGGGCGAAGCAAGCGGGCAAAGTGGGGTGCCCGACATTTGGTCTGAAGGGGAACACGGAAAAACCGGTTTCAATAGAAGCCAAGCTTTGGTTTGGAACTGGGGAAATCGGTTTCGATAGAAGCCAACCTTTGATTTGGGGAAATCCATATAGCCCTGAGCCGCTTGCGAACCGATTTGGGTAGGAGAAGGTTAGCAAGGGATAGTTCTCTTGCCACAGATGGGTGCGGACATTCTCAAAAAACCTTAACTACATGGAGCACGGGTCATAACGCGCCGTGGCGCGTTTGACAGTGCCTCATCAACGAAAGCATGTGTTTTACCAGGGTTTCTGGCCAAAGGTCGAAAAGTCTCACTTGCAAAAGGCCCTCAAACTACTTGTAGCAGCAGCCTCTTTTACATAATCTCGCTTAGCTTCTTCAGGAAGGCCAAAGGTTTCAGTGGCTCATCGTGCATGATGTGTTGTCGCCACATCCACATATAGCAATACTTTGCAACCTCTACATTGAAGGTTGACTGCCCATTCTCTTTGATCTTCAAGATCAACCGCCGGGGGAGCCAGGGCTTCAGTGCCCCCCAGCTGCGATCAATGCACTGGGTCCCTGCCTGGCCACTTATTGTCTTGGTTCCCTTGTGAGTAGGGCGACAGAAAACACGAAGTTGGTGAGACACTGGCTCCACTCTCATGTGCTTCGCTGTCGCTGCTGAGTTCCATGCTTCTATGTCGGACCAAGATGCCACACCAGCATGCCAGAAATCGCTGCCTCGGGTGATGCACTCCCCAAACTCCGCTTCCTCCTCTGCCCTAGCGTCTTCAAGCATTTGCTGACTCGTCACGTTAGTGTCTGCAGATACTGGTGTTGCTTCAGCCCAAAGCCTCTCCCTCTGACCCACGAAGCGCAGTTTGGCTGCAGCGTGGTGCGGGCTTTCATTGCCATCGATGGGGCTGAACTCCTCTGCTTCTGAGTCTGAGTCACGGGTCATGGACTTGGAGTCTCCACTGCCCGCAGGGGCAAGCCGAACCAAAGCCAAGCGTCTCGACAACACCCACGCAGCAGCAGCCAGAGCCAACGATGCCTCCCCAGGGCTCTGAATGTGCCCACGAATCACCTGCAGCCAATGCTGCCAAAGCAGTGCCACGCAAGCGCTGAGGGACCGAAATTGCAACGGAAACCGACACTCAATCTCCACGACCTGGTTCACGAAGCCAAGAATGGGATCTGGCGTTTGACAGCAGGTGTCCAGCAAGGAGTCAAGATACTCAGGGTGGACCAAAAAGAAAGAGCTCAGCACCGGGTGATCAGCAAAGACATGAGAACGCCCCCCCAGGCGGAGCAAAAGGATCAATGCCAGGGCGAGTCGGCTATCGGGGGACATGTGAGCCAGCGGCACTGCAACAACAACGCGGACGTCCCGATGTGAACAACAACGACTCAACGTCTGGTCGGGCAGCAGTGAATGCGCCGATAACACTCCCCCCCCCCACCCCCCCCCCACCCCAAAGCACCCTGCAACACAGAAAAGATGCCGAAAACACACGGCGTAGTACGACCCGTGGTCCAACTACATGGTTCTGGGTAGGCACGGTAGGCTTCCTCGTGGTATCTCTTTGCAACCCCCAAAAAGGGGCACCCGAGACGCTTGTTGATGAAAAAAAAGAGGCGCAGCCCCGGGAGTTTGGGCCAGCGCAAGCGCTTCCGAGAAGCCTCTGTTTTACTAGGTCCCCAACCCTTTTTTTGGTTGGGAGATTCGGTTCCCCTGCGAAAATAGACTACAGAAAAAAGTTGGTACCAGCTTATTCTAACTTCTCGGCTGGAGGACCTAGTTTATGTTCCCGTTGGTTTTGAAGGGAGCCTGTCCCTACAGGGACATTTTATTTTATTTTTAACAAAACATAATATATATATATATATATATATGTATGTATGTATATATATATATATATATTACATAGTTTTTTCCTTTCCGGGGGGGGGGGGGTTGAGGAAATCGAAGTGTAAACTTCATGCGCCTTGTTTTTTTGGTAGTGATTTTCCTTGAGACGCCCAGGCGCTTGGCCTCTCAACGCGCAGTCCCCCCAATCGCCCGTAGCGGTAGAGCCGGCCTGGGCAGGTGCGGGCGGACCCGCGCAACGGCTTCAGCCAGGAGTCTTTTGGCGGAGGTTTTCGCGTGGGCGAGGGGGGAGTTGAACGTCGGTTTTTGGAGTGGACACCCCCTTTTCCGGGTGCATTTTTTCCTTTTTGGGAGACCAAAGGTCAGGTAACCCTCAATAGGTGGGTGGCTTGGAATTGGACTTGCAGTCCCTGGCTGTTGTACAGGGTGGATGGGAAGCCACCCCTAACACACCCAAACCACCAAGTCAAACCTCCAATTGGAGGGAAGCTAAAAGAAAGCCTCAGCACTCAACCCAAACGGGGGGGACCCAAAAACAAAAATCACCCCCCGTTTTGGGGCTGCGACGGGACTCAACCTGATTGCCCCATGTCATTCCATGTACGCAACTGGGTTTCTGCATGGGAAAGACCTGGTGGCGGTTACTTCGGTGTTCGGCTTCGAGTTAAGTTGGCCCTTGCAACTTGAAGGCTTCCCGGGTCAAGCCTTGGCCAAGCTAGGTGGGTGTGGCTCAAAATTTGATTCGATCGCGGGGGCAAGCCGCAGGGTTTGGTCCATGTTTCCACCAGGGTTCCTTTACCGGTTTTTTGAGCCAGTTGGAACTTGGCAGCTTCCCGTGGAGTTCGTCCGGTGAAGGAATATCCCAAGTGGCAGTCAGTGGCAAGGCCGAGCATCCGAGGAGTGTTCCAGGCCGAGTTGCGTTGGTTGAAGGCAGAGGCATAGGTGTCCTTTTTGGTTCAATCATCTACCAGGAACATCCATCGATTTCCCCAAAACGACACACCTATGGGCAGAGGGACTTTTCAACGGAATCGGTTTCTTCCCCCCCAAAAACAATCACAACTAACTCCGAGACATAAGTCACACGCAAGATTGTTTGGCCTTCCGTCCGCCATGGACGTCGCAGCTTCAGCCCAGACTGCCCTGTTGTCCACCTATTTTCGAGGGGTTGCCCTTTACAGTCAGAGTTTTTTTGTTTGTTTTAAATGTGCAGGGTGGGACACTAAGGAATACTGTTCAAATTGCAGCCTTTGTCCACTCAATTTGTAACTTCTGGTATTTTCTGTTATGTTTTTAGTGGGTCTGGGCTTTGTTTGCCGCAATTTCGGACTCCCGAGCGCAGGATAAGAAGAACGATGGCAGCTTCAAAAAGCAAGGGCCACAGAGTGCGGGCGGCAGTCAGGGCGCCTTTGGCGGATATTGTTTGCAGAGGGACTTGTGTCCACCAACCATTTCAGAGGACGCTCCCCACTCAAATTCACAGCCATACTGTGGATGGACGAAATCCTGCACCACTTTGAAACAATGGGGTTTCCATTGTTTGTTGGTATTTGCAGGGGAATCATCATCCCAGGTTTTGTGGGTGGCAGGATTTTGTCCACTGGGCTTGATCAGTGTGAGATTATGTGACTTGTTGGGCCAATGTGAAGCATTTGTTTGAAGAGGCGATGCAGTCAGCACCCCCCCAGGCACCCCCCAACGGCCAACAGCTGATCAGCTGGACACTTGGGGCTTCGGACATGGAACAAGACTAGTCTGGAGGGTGCAAAAGGGGATTTTGGGGAGAGAAAGACAATCCAAAGGTGGACCCTTTTGCGGACATTCGGTGGTCTGCATTTTTCTGGGGAGAGAGAGAGAAAGAGAGAGAGAGAGCGAGAGACAGAGAGAGAGCGGGCCCTGAAAAGGGAACCCAAAACCGGTTACATTCGGTAGGATATTGATGCCCAAAACAAAGAGTTGGGACCCGCCAAAGAAACCCAACTCCCCAGCAACGATTTGGACCTCCGGATTTTGGATTTCACCCCTCACCCCTACCCCCCAACCTCCCCCCACGCAAAGGGTTGAGGGGTTCAACATTTTAGGGTAGGGGTGGTCTAGGGTTTGAGGGACACCCACCCCTCCCTTAGCCACAATCAAAACCTGGGTAGATAAAGGTTAGTAAGGTATAGTCCCAGCCATGCTTAGGTGCGGATATCCGCCCTTTTGGTTCTTTACACGGTTTGGGTAGACCACTTCAATACCGATCGCTTTTGATTGTGACTCCTTTGGTGCTTGCAGGGTTCGGGTTAATCTGGATCCCGTGCTGGTTTCCCACCAAAGAAATCAAGCCCATACGGTTCCATTTGATTTTGATTACGACCCCCCCCCCCAAGAAAATGGCAATGGCTCGAACCATAGTACCCAAAACGGCACTTTGCTAGAACAGGAGTCGACAAAAACCAGCGTAACCCCAGCTGAGCCCCCCCCCCCCCACAAAAACGAGCACCTGGATCGCCAGTTGCTGCCTTTTGTTTTCCATGCACTTTGCCCCGAACACCAGCAACAGTGACTGAAATCGCTCGCAACCTGGCTGCCTACCTGGAGTCTCCATGACCCTTAAAAAATGGGGTCATGACCCCTTAATTTTGGGTAATGACCCCATTTTTTAAGGGTCATAGAGACTCTAGGTAGGCAGCAGCCAGGCCCAGCGAAGACGCTCGAAGTCGCTCGCCGCGCGAAGCCCCGCCGCTCCACGCCACGCGGCCCCCGACGAAGGTGGCTGCTCACCTGCGGCTTTGAGGCCAGCGCGCTCTTCGACCGGAACAAGTGTATGGCCCGAGACCCGAGACGCAAATTCCGGGGTCTCGACTAGGTCCCCCAGTAGTGCCCAGTAGTGCCCTTGCTCACCAACTTTTTTGGTTGGGAGGGTTCCCCTACTAAAATAGACTACAGAAAGAAGGGTACCCTTATTCTAACCTCTCTACTAGAGGACCTAGTCGAGAAAAACAAAAGGCTGGGCGCCACGAGCCGTCGGTGTCTGATTCGGTTCCATCGGGGAATGAGAATTGGACAAACGACTTCAATCCCAGGGAAGGGTGGAAGTACATAGTCCCGGTTCGAATGACCCAAAGGATAAACCATAAGTCCTTTAAGTGGCGGTTTCCTTTATTCGGGGATCCCAACTTGTTCATTCCGAACGGCTCAACACCCGGAAGCAACGGTTCTTCTTGAAGGTTTCCCTTTAAAGCCACAAAACAGGGGGTGCCCTTCCAATTTCCCTCCCAAATGCAGCATAGACAGTCATGCACAGGTTTTTCGAGCCATTTCCCTCTTACCCTTTTTTGTGGTTGGTTTAAAGGGAAGCAAAGGAACGCCACCATTGGGCGGGCATTTGGCAGGGTTTCCGAGCCATTTCCCTGTTTGGAGCCTCCAAAAATGGCAATCTTCCATGGACACCACCATTAAATTGATCAAATTTTGATTTGGGAAATCCAGTGAACCCGGTCAATTTGGTTTATAAAATCAAAGTGCGAATCGATCGTCGTGCCACTTGGGATTGGCTCAACTAGTTTTCCAGTTGGGCTTCACCCATTCCAACTGGTGCGAAGCGGGCTAGTTTTGTCGATCCACGGGGCAGGGTGGATTCCCTATGTTCTTCTCTCATCGTTCTTTTCAAATTGATGAAAGTTAGTTGGGAGACACCTGGAAGTCACCTACGGCAAGCAACAGGTAGGTAATCCCTGCTTCCTAGTTACAAACGGATCCCTAATAATAGAATAAATCCCTTCAGCCAACCGCACAAGTTGCTGATACTAAGCTTAAGAAGAAAAACAAAAAACAAACTATACCAATACTAAGCTTTCAAACGAAGCGACGTGAACTCAGCCAACTTTCCAGGTGTGCTTTGTAGGGTTTATCACCGTAACATGGATGAGGACGGGGATATGTCTTATGATGTCCGCTCCTGTCGGCACAAGAGGCAATGGGTCTTTAGAACCATTCAAATCCCTGGCTCGGCTTGCACCCTGCTCCTTCCCATTGGACATGGCGTCTTGGGCGTGGCCAGCGCGCTGTGGCCGCCAAGGAGATTTGTTGCCTCGTCAAGCTTCCCAGGCAATCGGAGGCGAAGGTAGCTGCGATTGTCAGACTCGAAGGAGTCAAACAGCGGCATAGTGCCACGGACCTCTGAAAGAGCGATCGCATGCGTGAGCGGTTTTGAGTATGAGGGTCTCCTTTTTGTTCCCTTCATAAGGTCGTACTCAAAAGTGGTAGTCTGAGCGGTTTTTCTCAAACTAAAGGGTTGCTGTGCTGGAGAGGACACGGCAAACCCTGACTCCGCTGCCTTGTTGCAAATCAAATTTGTGGGTCCCTTCCCGTTGAAATTTCTTACTCACAAGTTGCATTATGGACACTTGTTTTTGCAAATCAAAGGGGGCAAAAACCGGGGGACCGCAATAATAAACACCCTCAATGTGTTTTTAGTTTGGGTGGGTTGCATTCCGCTCGCTTGCGCCAAAGGATGTTCTCATGTGAGCACCCAAAAGGAGACCATTTCATAGAGCCATTCAATGGTTCACCCATAAATTTGCGTCCTTTTCTGCAGATGGACAGCATCCCGCACCAGAGTTCAATTACCAAGATGGTTGGCCGACAAAAGACATCAAGCAGGTGCTACCCCAAAAACAACTTCAAACACCACCCCACCAAAAGGAGACTGATCTAAGGGCAGCCAAAGCATGAAAACTACCAAACAGGAAGCCAGATAGCTAGTTTAGAATATCCTGAAGGGGGCATTTCCCTGAATGATCCGTCTTTCGACGTCACCGACGTCAATTCTTTTTGACAGGCCCCGCAAAAAGGGAACCGCCACCTTTCAAGAACTTTTTAGGGTCCCCCCCCACCCCAAATGGGCGGGTTTTCCTGTCGTTTGTCCTTGTCTTCTTCAGCCATCCCAAAAAGGACAAACAAAAAAACACAATTTCCCAAACCTACTATTTGGCCTATCCCAAAAGGTTTTGTGCGTGTTCCTCCCTACTTAGGTGTTCCTACAAACACTCCCATCCTTTTTTGGCCCATCCCAAAACCGGGGGTACCAACCTTGACTGCTATTGGGTAACGGATCTTTAGACTTCAACTTTTTGGTTGAAATCAACTTCGGGTTTTCCGAACTAAACCCCCAAAAAGTGAAGAACTTTTTGCAGGGGGGTCGTTGCAGCACCCAAGCAACTCCCGACAAAAAGACGGGGGCCACGCGCGTGCCGACGCATCCGAGATCTCGGTGCCCCACGCCAAGCGGACCACGCGAGGCACCAGAGGCCAGGATGGGAGGTAGCTGCTTCTGGGTCCCCCAGCTAGGTGCCTTTTCTCTGGCGTCGAACACAAGCCATGGCTGTTGTTGGGAAGCATTTTTTACATTTTTGCTTATTGTGGTTTTTTGGGCAGTCCCCACTCAACTGCGAAAACTTGAGAATTGTTGCTCCCCTTCCAACGTCAACCAAGGCAGCTGCTCGTGAAGCTGTCATCAGGATCCACGTGGCAGGGTATTCCAAGTGAGTTTCCTTTGGCGACGTTTCAAGAGGGATATTGCCAGGAAACCGTGGAGGGGCATTCAATATGGGGATGTCTCAAAATAGGGGAGACTTTTTTTTTCCGAGAAAGCAAAAGGAAACCACCTGAGGGCCCAAGGTGAGTTTCCTTGGGCTACGTTTCAAGAGGGACAGGGTTTTGGGGGGAAACCACAATCCCAATTCTGAGAAACACCCATATTCTGTTTCATAGGACGTTGGATTCGCCAAGTTCGAAGTGGGTAGAAAGCCCACGGGTGACTGGGTGAACCCCAGTTTGGAGGCAGAAAAACGTGGGTTATAACCTAGGTGACCAACGACCTACCAACTTGGCCGAGCACCCACGGAGGGAGGATGCCCCCTACGTCAACTACCCCTTTTTTTTAGATGGTATGTTTAAGGAAAGCCTGGGAGCACCGTAAATACCTCCTTTTCTAGTCAAGGGTAACATGATACACCATACCCTGAATAAAGTGGGTATTGGATGTATGGAGCATGGCCTCTATTGAGCAAAACTATAACCAGCCATTTGGAGGGTCTGGTTTTGGCCCGTTCCTTCATATCAAGCACATAAGGCCTATATACTTCCTCACACGCCTATACTGGTGGTGTATTAGTCCTAGATCAGCTGGTCCTTGCTGATTTCAGTTTCGGAGAGACGTCAAGCCCTGAGTTGGTTATTCCTTTACCACGTTTATTAGTGGCTACTTTTCCAGAAGCACAGTGCGCTCAGTCGTGAAGCGATCAGAAACTGTCCAATTCCAAATTCAGGGGTTCCCATTTTTGTTCGCCTCAGTACCATGTTCGGGGTGGGTCCAAGGCAGAATTTTGGGGTCCATTGGGGTCGTTGTTAAAGCATATCTATGGCGATGAGGGGTACTTCTTTACATGCCTCAAAATATCTTTGCCAACCCTTTGGGCTGTGGCGAAAATCGAGGGTCATTGACCTTGACAGTCATCCGCAAATTAATGGAACCGGAAACGGTAAGAGTTTCACCAAACTGAGATGTTGTTCCTTTTTTTTGGGCCGGGGGGGGGGGGGGGTTGGATCCATGTGAGCCACGGACAAAACACACGAAGACCACTTTATCAAGGCGGGGTACGTTTTTGCATAACACATGCCAAAACCATGCAAAACGATAAGGTCTCCCCCAAAAACGATAACCCTTAGCTAACACACGGCTCTATAATAACCCCTGCAGTTGCAACTTAGCTAGGGTGGGACCCTTGCGTGGCACCGTAAAACGAGAAGGCGAGTCGCCACTTTCGAGCCGGAGCTGCCAAGGTGTGCTTCGTAAATACGACACTTGTATTGAGAAGTTGCGATTTTCGAGCTGGAGTTGCGGAAGTGTACTTCGCGTACTAGACTTGTACTACAAAGTTGCGATTTTGGAGCTGGAGCTGCGGAAGTGTGCTTCCCGTACTAGACTTGTACTACAAAGTTGCGACTTTCGAGCTGGAGCGCTGTGGAAGTGTGCTTCCCGTACTAGACTTGTACTACAAAGTTGCGATTTTCGAGCTGGAGCTGCGGAAGTTTACTTCGCGTACTGGACTTGTACTACAAAGTTGCGACTTTCGAGCTGGAGCTGCGGAAGTGTACTTCGTGTACTATACTTGTGCTACAAAGTTGCGATTTTCGAGCTGGAGCTGCGGAAGTGTACTTTGCGTACTAGACTTGTACTACAAAGTTGCGATTTTCGAGCTGGAGCTGCGGAAGTGTACTTCCCGTACTAGACTTGTACTACAAAGTTGCGATTTTCGAGCTGGAGCTGCGGAAGTGTATTTTGCGTACTAGACTTCTACTACAAAGTTGCGATTTTCGAGCTGGAGCTGCGGAAGTGTACTTCGCGTACTAGACTTGTACTACAAAGTTGCGATTTTCGAGCTGGAGCTGCGGAAGTGTACTTCGCGTACTAGACTTGTGCTACAAAGTTGCGATTTTCGAGCGGGAGCTGCGGAAGTGTACTTCGCGTACTAGACTTGTACTACAAAGTTGCGATTTTCGAGCTGGAGATGTGGAAGTGTACTTCGCTACTAGACTTTACTACAAAGTTGCGATTTTCGAGCTGGAGCTGCGGAAGTGTACTTCGCGTACTCGACTTGTACTACAAAGTTGCGATTTTCGAGCTGGAGATGCGGAAGTGTGTTCTTCGCGCGCTAGACTTGTACTACAAAGATGCGGAAGTGTACTTCGACTTTGTACTACAAAGTTGCGATTTTCGAGCTGGAGATGCGGAAGTGTACTTCGCGTACTAGATTGTACTACAAAGTTGCGATTTTCGAGCTGGAGCTGCGGAAGTGTACTTCGCGTGAACTAGACTTGTACTACAAAGTTGCGATTTTCGAGCTGGAGCTGCGGAAGGTACTTCCTGACTAGACTTGTACTACAAAGTTGCGATTTTCGAGCTGGAGCTGCGGAAGTGTACTTCCGTACTAGACTTGTACTACAAAGTTGCGATTTTCGAGCTGGAGATGCGGAAGTGTACTTTGCGTACTAGACTTGTACTACAAAGTTGCGATTTTCGAGCTGGAGATGCGGAAGTGTACTTCTCTTACTAGACTTGTACTACAAAGTTGCGATTTTCGAGCTGGAGATGTGGAAGTGTACTTCGCTTGCTGGACTTGTGCTACAAAGTTTCGATTTTCGCGCTGGAGTTGCGGAAGTGTATTTCGCAGTTCGAAAACACTGTAAAACGATAAGGTCTCCCCCAAAAACGATAACGTTCAAAAAAGTACTAGGGCCAAGTAAAGTGTTTCGTCCGCTCCTCATGTCAATCTGCAGAAGAGCAACCTTCAACCTCGAGACATCATAGACGTTTCCCCACAAGCCAGCAAACCATGTTGTTTGCCGGGGGTGCAAAACCATCCCGGTCGCGCAAAAGCAACCTCATTGTCAAGGGGGAATGAGGTGTCGGAGTGGTCCACAAGATGCCTGCAAAGGCGGCGTTTTGTGCATGTCCCCTTCTTGAGAGGCCGAGTTTCTACGGAGGTTTAGGCCAAACTTAGGGAACCCTGACTAGGTCCCCCAGTAGTGCCCTCTCCCTTTTTGGGGGAGGGTTCCCCTTCTTTAATAGACTACAGAACAAAGGGTACCTTATTCTAACCTCCCTACGCGAGGCCCTAGCTGATATCCCATGCCTCCTCAGCACTTGAGGCAAACTTTCTCCTGTGCTGGCCTCACAGGATACAGTCAGATGCGAAGCGATGATTCATGTTCACTCCCTGTTGACCTCTGTAGCAGGTGGGTCTACTACCTGGTTTAACGAAGTTATAGGCTGCGGGTGTGTCTTATTTTTAGGGGACCGCCTTTCCTTTCAAAACCACCTAAGCAACAGAAACCAACATTTCCTTTTGGTTTCCTTTACCAAACAAGGGGTACCCCCCTTCAAGAAATACACACGAACATTACAGTGTACGGCCAAACATTTCTTGGAGGGACATGCGAGTCTGACCCTTCTGCCCGTTGCTCTTCTGGGAACTCCGTTCCGACCTTGCTAGACAGGCGATCATCTGCAAATGGATAAGCAGCTGGCAACATTGACGTTTTGTAAATCGATGACCCAGTGGATCCCTTGTTCTTCTAATTTATTGGGGTCTGCATAGTTCTTCGGACACGGTTTGTAGGTTTCTTGCCATTTGTTGATGTGAGAGCCAACAAGAGCCCCTACCTACTTTGAATGATGTGATATGTTTGGGTGTTTCTTTTTGCTTGCTTGTTTTTAGGGCGAGGGGGAGCATAGGATGAGCTGGCGATAGCTCCCGGCTGCAACTTGACGCCTGCAGCCACGGCAGGCGGGAGGAAGAACCGTAACGCCGAGCGTGCAGCCAACTCGGAGGGCGAGGCACGTCGCCCGCGAGTTTGCTCTTGAAGCTTAAGGCATAGAAATAATTTAATACACAAAATCCGCACTTCCATTTGCTGAAATGAAGATGTGTTGTATTTTCCTCTGCTGGATTGAAAGGGCAACTATCACTACCTGTTTTTTCCCCCCCCCCCTTTTTTTCCGGGGGCTTAAGCAAATGAACACGCATCAGGCGAATTATACACAGAGCCAAGACGGGCTCCGGACATGCGGTGGTTCATTGCGGTTGGTTGAGGGTAGCTTTTCGGCATAGTGTTCAGGTTCAGCAAGAAACCAAAAACATGTCATTTCGTGTTTCAAAAGCTTGGGTGGGAATGGCAAGGCGCACTTTCAAAGAGGGAGAGTTGAGGGAAGTTCTCACAGATATTCATTGACTAGGTCCCCCAGCTAGGTGCCCTCTCTCACCCTTTTTTGGGGCGAGGGTTCCCCTACTAAAATAGACTACAGAAAAATTGTACCCTTATTCTAACCTCTCTACTGGAGGACCTAGTTGAGTTGGTGTTCAAAGGTTCGCAGGTTTGCAAGATGTCTTTGTCTGTGTGTGTGTGTGTAATTGAAGGGCACTTGTTTCAGCTTGGTTTTCAAGGGAATCTGTAACTACATGGACATGTTTTTTTTCAGGGACTAAGCAAATGAAGGGTTTCCTCATCTGAGTGTTGCCAAGGGACCCCCGATTGGTTTCAATGAACCCTGGCAAATGGAAACAAGGACTACACCCTCCATATCCAATCTTGCAGAACATTATTTGGCACATGGGTTTGTCCAGTTTTGAAGGAACACCACCGTATTTTTTCTGGGCGACGCATTTGAGCGCTCGCGCGCTTCGAATTCACTGCTTCGAGAATTCAAGAATAAGAGCTTTGAAGTGCGGCATGTGTGACCGACAGCTTTGAAGTTCGGCATGTGTGACCGAACTTTGGAAGGCAGGGTCATTTGCATCAGCAAGCAGTACTCTTGATTTCCGAACGCTCCTGGACCCCCACACTACCTTTCTATATATAAAATCACAGCAAACATTTGAGGTTCGGTCAAAAATTGCAGTAGGCTACGGTTCATTTGGAAGGGTCATGTCGGACAAACCCAAAGTTCCCCACAAACACCAGGGTGCAAACCCCAGCTGTCCCCACAAACACCAGTGGACACGCCCGAAGTATCCCGCGTTCTCGTTGGAAGTAGTTTTTGCCCGTATATGTTGTTGACATTCTTCCTATGTTTTCGCAGAGCCCGCCCATATAAAACCCCCGAGTCCTCTTGGAGGAAGCAGTTTTGACCTTACCCTTGAGGTGACTTGGTGGCTCCTTTTAGCCTTTTAGTGTTTGGTGGTAGTTTCCATTTATCCCACTAGAAGTGAGTCACTCAGATCGCGGGGGATCTGAAAACGGGCCCAGGTGATCTTCCAATTTGTCGTAGGGCTCGCCCTTTTTTTCTCCTGATCCGGGTCCGGAGCGCTTCAAAACATTTTTTCTGCAGGACGCAGCTTTTGAGCCGCCCTACGGTCTGCACTCCCACGAGGCGATGTGAGGGTCGCGAGTCGTCTTCTCGCACCCACGAAATGAGTTGCCGTGGTTGAACACAGGGGAATCATGCTAGGTCCCCCAGCTAGGTGCCCTTTCTTTTACCCCAACTTTTTTGGTTGGGAGGGTTCCCCTACTAAAATAGACGACAGAAAACAGTTGGTACCCTTGTTCTAACATCTCTACTGGAGGACCTAGCATTATTCCAGGGGTTGTTGGTATTCACAGTGTCCTGCAATCCTGTATCCTCAATAACAACTCCATAGTTTGTTGGCATGTTTGTTCGTTGGGGAATCGAATCACTCCAGGGTTTGTTAGGTGCTGCGAAATGGATTCGTCCATGCACAGCCCTGTTTTTTTTTTCGGGTAGAAATGAAATTAGCCGCCCGTCATTGGTTTGAGTCGGTTTTTCTCGCCCTGACATTAGGTACCCCACCCGAACCCGAACCCGAACCCGAACCCGAACCCCCCCCCCCCTAAAAAAAAAAGGGGCCCGAACCCGAACCCGAACCCGAACCCGAACCCGAACCCCCCCCCCCCAAAAAAAAAAGAGGGGCCGAACCCGAACCCGAACCCGAACCCGAACCCGAACCCGAACCCGAACCCGAACCCGAACCCCCCCCCCCAACCACCCGAACCCGAACCCGAACCCGAACCCGAACCCGAACCCGAACCCGAACCCGAACCCGAACCCGAACCCGAACCCGAACCCGAACCCGAACCCGAACCCGAACCCCCCCCCACAAAAAAGAAGCCCGAACCCGAACCCGAACCCGAACCCGAACCCGAACCCGAACTCGAACCCGAACCCGAACC